TTGTGCATCATATCTGAGCCAACAAGAATCGAGCCTGACCCACCACCATCTGTACTCGTGTCAACCATGGATCCTGGCTTGTCATCATCGTCAAGTAGAAGCTCCGGGGCCCGCCAGCCAGATGTACCGGCCGCATGGGCAGTAGTAGCCCTGAAAGATGACTGTTCCACTTCCAGTTTTTTGCATAGCCCGAAGTCTGAAACGAGAAGGCGAGGTTTACCATTCTTAGACATAGCAACTAGAATGTTCTGTGGCTTTAGGTCACGATGGACGATACGGAGGTTGTGGAGGTGCTGGATACCATTGGTAATTTGATAGAGTACGTTTGGAAGGTCCTTTTCACCACCTTGAGCCAGATCTCTGTGTAAGTGTGGCTTTTCAATGACATCACTTAACGAGGCAGGACATAACTCCAGGGCGATATAAAGGAATCCAGCAGCACTCTGTTGTGCGAAGTACCGAATAACTATTAGAATGTTAGAGAATTAATACAAGGGAGACTTTGGAATAGTTACCATTTGGATGATCGTCACTTTCTCTTAATAGCTTAGTTTCTTGGGATGCGATGTCATAAAATTGAATGAGCATCCGCTTGACAGCGACAGCGCGGCCATCAAACTTCCCTTCAAAGACCATGGTACCATTGCTACCCGTTCCGACTAATTTGTTCTGGTCTACTTCCAATGCCCCGATGCGAATTTTGGAGCCAGAAACTTCCGCAGGGTCATTGGACACCGTCTGAATGTCAGGTTCGAGCGTGTTCTGAGGAAACATGTTTTTGACATTGTGCACGGCATCTTCAACAGTTGGGGGTAGCTTTTTGACGGGAGCATTTTGAGACTCTTGGTCACTTCCAGTTTGACCTGGACGATCTTTCTTCCCTCGGTGGTTAACGCCACCACGTCGTCCTCGTTTTCTTCTTTTCTTTTCGGGTGATAGGGTAAGATCGCTAGCATCTTGCACAGCTTCTGATAATGCGCTAGCATCGTTCACAGTAGTACCTTCAAGTGGCACGGCCGCAACAGCATCTTCAGGAACGTCTGGGAGAGATGTGGAATCCTTAACAATAGGGTTGGGTTCACCAAGAGGTTTGTCTTCCGGAATAACTGAAAGACGGGTAGCCTCGTGACCGTTGATGTTTGCGGCATCGTCACTTGAATCGTCGATTGGTGGCACATCCTTAGTTACAGGTCGATCTTTGTGCGAAACGACAGATTTTTTATTGTGAAGTCCATGGCGGCCGATCCAAGCTCTTATTGCTCTTTGGTTCGAGATAACTAGTATCATCAAAAAAAGAATGAGAACAGGATTTTTCACAAATTCGACAACACTATCAATCGCTAGCCTTGGGATTTGCTGGAAGCTTTGTAATAGAGTTGGTTCACCAAGAAGTTCTGGGGTGAGGTCTGTGACAGTCACTTTGCTTTGGTTGTCATCTTCGAATAGGGGAGCAGATATGGTCAGACGGGGTTCGGTTGGCTCGTCGAGAAAATGAACACCAGTTAGCGCCGCCGCCAGCTCGGGCTGACCCATCTTTTTCCAAGACTCGCGTTTCAACGATTCACGTTGGTAAATTTCGGCTTTGGAGCCTGTTACAGCCAAAGGATATGATTTTCCAGACATAGCATAAAAACTTCCATCTTTAGAAAGATTGATAACAACTCGATTTCGATGCTGGTCCGTTTCCGACATTTCGTTTTCAGCCGACAACTCGGGCTTAGGTTGTGGAAGTATCATCAATTTCAGATTCTTTTCCTCAATTCCCCAGGGTCTAAAGATATCAAATACCCTAACGACAGGTGAAGGAAGCTTCTGTTGGAACAGTAGTTCGTGATCATCGTTCCGCTCACGATCAAATCCCATTACGTGGCCATCCTGCCCAGCGAGGATATATTTGTTGTCGAGTGTTTGGTGATATTTGTCTCCATATTTCTTCGCGTCTTGAACATTAGGTCCCCATTCATTGTACATTAAAGTAGCAATTGGGTGTTGGTCCTTGCCAACGATGTTGACTTCGTATTTTGATAACCCCAACCAAATCGTGGGGTTTTGACATTCGTCAGCTTCTCTTCCCACAAATCCATTTTCAGAGCTACAGCTTTGGTCCTTTGCATCGACAATGTAATCTCCTCCAAAGACCTGTAATATTTTTCCATTGGTGGCATCAACATGCACCATTTGAGTTTTCTTCGAACCAGTGTATACGACTTCGGGGTCGTCACTCTGGTAAGGTGACATTTCGTCAACTAATTTCTTCATTGTTAGACCTGTGTTGATCAGGCCACCATTTGGAACATCGGGTCGATATATCCATAAACCACCATGTTCAGTCGGTTCAACGATCCAAACATAATCGTCAATACCCCATGGGGTCGGAGCTTCATTGAAATCGGCAGATTTGTTTCTTTTATGATGTTTGGTGGAAATCATCGAGACTTCAGGTAATTCTGTGGATGTCCATCAGGATTAGTGATTGTTCTCATGATGCGGAATCGAGCAGCAAACAATACGCCTTCATTGGGACTACTTACGCATTCGCCATTTATGTTTACCCGTTTTTCTATCGCGCGCCCACACACTTCCATCAACGGTCGCCAGTAGCACAAAATCTTCTACTTCCCAGTCTTGGAGATCCCGCGCACTCGGCTGCGAAGAACCCCATCCAGGAGACTGAAGACTGTTAGACTCAAGCCTACTGGATTGTGCAAGATGTGAAGGAGCTAATGGTGCTGAATCGGCGCTCGCATCGACTATATCGTGAGATCCGGCCTTTACGCTCAAAGTTTGTTTTCTTCGTGGAATGATCAAAGGGGTCTCGATGGTTTTTATTTTAGTTGCTTCAAGAGGAGTCCGTATTGCCTCTGAACTACCGATCTCGGGCGAGGATTCATGTTGCCTGAGAACTGATCGCTGCTGCTGCTGAGCATCGACTAACCATGGTAGAACCAAAAAGAATGCTGCGAAGATGAATATATTATTCACGGCTTCGCCACAGGCCTGGGGCCTGACCATGATTGAAGGTCAACGTGTATTTGTTAATACTTCGCACACGGCGAAGTATTTGAGGGATTTATTTATTTGCAGAGGCTGATGATGAAAGGAGATATCGTATGACGGCAGCTAAACAAAGATAAAACTTCGATGTTGAATTGAATTCTATTGAGTCTGATTGAATTCGAGTCTCGAGTTTGAACAAATAATAATGATTAACGAATTGCTAAATTGTTGCCCTCGATGAAACAAAAGAAGGGAAGGGAAGAGGAGTGACGGGATGGGATGGGATGGGATAAACCAAAATGTGGTGGTGGTTGTGATTTGTGTAGCTGTGTGTGTGTGTGCGCGGTGGCTCGGTGGGTTTTTTCGTGTCAGAAGAATTAGAAAAAGAAGGCTAATAATAGGGACTTTTCCGATCCAATCCACATCCACATCCACATGAGCTAGTTGAGTTTGTAAACACTAGAAAAGCCCCTCGATCAATTTCATAAGAATAAATTGGTCGACAGGTACGAACCGGCAGACGGAATTCAAATGTGGAGTATGGAGTAGAAACGGCGTGAGGGAAAGGAAGAAAACTAGGTACCGGGTAGATAGTGGTATTGGTAGGACTAGTAGGTAGATGGGGAAAACTATATAATTTATTGATCTGAAGCAATTCAGTTGATAGACCCCAACTGTGGTGAGAGATTGAAGAGACTAAAAGAAGAAGAAGAAGAAGAAGGCAAGGGGGGTTTTCTCCTTCTTTCAGCTTACAGTACTACCTCCCCTCCTCCCTAGTACTGAGGTAGGATTCGAACGTTCGTCAGCTTACCTGAACATTTCTTCTCCTTGCTTCTACATCTACCCATCAACTCACTCACACACAATCTCAAGTCAAAACTCGAAGTTGGTACAATCCAGGATCAATTCAACAATACTTGTTGGCATTCCAGGTTTTGAAATTATAACTCCCACACTTAATACCAATTAGGTAGGTAAAAATGTAACGATTTGATTGAGATTTGCATTGATATAGAGTACTAATGCTGCAAATTCTTGGGAATTGCACTCACGGAGTAAATCATCTATATATATAAAAACCTACGATGTAAGAGTATAATAAATTATCATACACTGTAGCGAATATGAAATTGATAACATCCCTCAAACCTTAAACCTATGGAACCGATGGAGCTTTCAAAATTAATACGTGCTTTATAATTAGGTATAATCACCCCATCTCAATTCTTATTAATACACTCACATCGCCAGCATTGCCTATTCCTTTTCCAAACATGTCTCATTCATTGACTTACTTGGCTTTGACAATTTCCAAGCGGCTAGCAACATATTCATAAGCCTCTGTTCCAAGTAGTCACGGAAAGGTGTCCTGAAGGACTAAGAGTGATGACACCAAAGGCAAACAGGAACAAATATGTCGTTCAAGATCAAGAGTCTAATAATTAGGAGTGTTCTATTCTCCTCGTCCCGTAAAGAAGGTTTGAATGTTCGCGGGAGTAACCGTTGCCCAATAAATAGAGAACAGATGGAATACACTAGCAAAAAAACACCTAGATCACTGAAGTGAGACTTTAGACTCTGCTATCATGAAATTCGTATGACGGAAGCGATTCTATTGGCAGAAGCAGACGAACCATAGCTTTGAATTTTGCAACTTTGGGATTATCTGGATTCTAAAGGCGTGGTTGTTTCAAAGCTGTGGTAAAGGCAGATAATTAACATCAACTAGATACACACTGTTGCTGGATTCTAATATTGGCTCTTGCAATCACCTGGCTAGCAATCACATAATTCGCTGTTGGTACGAGATCCCATTGAACGGAAAATCTCAAAAAAAAAAAAAAAAAAAAAAAAATAACCACAGAAAACCAAGAGGATTTAGAGGTTGTTCATCCATTCATTCATTATTGTTGCTGCAATATGTCTATGGTATAGTTGGTACAAATCTCCCTGACCATTTTGCATCTTCATAATACAGTCGTCATTTTTTTCTTTCATTATGCTCATCTCTCTCTTCTCCGTGGTGCACTGCGAATGATATTGTCCACTCTGAGGAGGAGCTGATTTGTGTTAGTATTGAAGGGGAATATGGGAATGATAGTACTGACCTCTGCTGCCTCGGAAGCTGATGAGACTACTGCCTTCTTCAACTTGTAACTTTCAATAACTCCCAGTTCTCGCATGTCAGCGATTCCACCTCCTGGAGTCAAAAGATCCAGTCCGTATGTGGACATACCATCGTAAATGGCTGTTCGGAGTCTAGCGACTAAATCGCTTGAATCATAACCGGCGTTGTCAGCCAAGATTGTGGGTAATTGACGGAGTGCTACCGCAAAAGAACCAACAGCAATTTGTTTTTTGCCATCTACTTTGACTGCAGCGCCTTCAACAGCTTTAGCCATTAACATCTCAGCACAGCCTCCACCAAGGGTAGTTCTTGGCTCCTTGACAGTTTGTGAAAGAACTGCAAGAGCATCGTGAAGAGATCTCTCTGCTTCATCAAGCAACTGCTCAGTAGCTCCTCTTAGTACAATTGTGCAAGCTTGACCAGCAGCAACACCAGAGAATTTAATGAGAGTATCTTCACCAATGATCACTTCTTCAATCAGGTCACAATGACCGAGCTTGACTTGATCTGGGTGATCAAACGTCGATGTAATCTCACCACCAGTAACCAAAGCCAGTCTCTCGATACCATCAAAATCGGCATGCTCAATGGACATGATACCGGCATCCGAAAAGAGTTGTTCAGGCCAGTTGTAGATGAGTTGTCTGTTGATGAAGCAGTTGATGCCATGTGCCTTGATCTTTTCAACCTTTGCCTTCATCTTATCTTTCTCGGCCTTCTCCAATTCAGCTAACTTTCCAGTGGAGCCAACCTTTACTCGGGCACCAAAAATCTTAATCTTATCCGTGTCCATGGCGGTGTTCGCAACAAGAATCTTAGCCTTTTCTAATCGTTTAGGTTGGTTGACTCCGATTTTCTTGTCCAAAATGAAACCTTCATCGAGATATGAATCGCTCAACTTTCCACCAGCCTTTTTGATAATTTGGATGTGACTTAAGTCTGATGAACCTTTCATACGTAAAACAGCGTCAACAGCCAACTCTGCAAATTGAATTCGATCTTGCGAGAGGACCTTGGAGCTCAAAGTTGTGCGTGCGATGGCTAACAAATCTTTTCTGAAAGCTTCGGCATTGCTGCTGTGGTCCACCGCTGACTTCTCTAATGCTGAAAGGGCCGCCTGGCTTGCTATTCTATAACCTTCGATAATGGTCTGCGGATGTATTTTTTTATCAACCAACTTCTCAGCTTCTCGCAGAAGCTCTGCAGCTAATACAGTAACGGATGTAGTTCCGTCTCCAACCTCGTCATCCTGCACTTTCGAGATGTTGACAAGGACTTTGGCAGCTGCATTGTCCAAGGCAATAGCTTTGAGGATGGTAGCACCATCGTTTGTGACTAAAATTTCGCCTGTACTTGCACTCTGAAGGATCTTGTCCATACCCTTTGGTCCTAGAGTTGATTTGACTAAAGAGATATTCATTCAGTAAATTACACTTTTGAAGCTTCATGGAGGGGTTCAAATTACCTAAATCTCCAACTGCGATAGCACCAACAAAAGCAGAGAGACGAGCGTTCTCTCCCTTCTCCTCAGTTGTACCATCTTCAAAGATTTGGGTTGGGTTAAAGGAAGCCATCTTGCTTTGTATGGAGATCGGCGAGATATGCTACAATTTTTTTCGGATTAAAACACCTCGTCGTCGCGTAAAGTTTCTAGGGGCGCGTCGAATAGTAATCGCTAATGTGGCTCTAAAATTAATTCGTTAGTGCCTCGCACACGAAAATTAAAGTTGGGGGAAAATCGATTTTTTGGCAGCCTTGTCTATTTGAAGAACCTGATCTCGACCACCACTCACATTCTATTCAAGGAATTTTGTCCTTTGTTTATGAAATCATTTCTATACAGGAGCTCAAGACTTTGGTTGCAATAATTCGATATCAAGACGCTGTAATCAATTCGAATAGTCTGATTCAGAATAGACTGTACAGAAGTGGGCTAGTGGGGTCAAAATTTCCAAACGAATTCACACAAAAACTCACCAACAACATTTATCGAACTGACAAGAGAACGCGCAAAGGCTGTTGGTTGATCGCATTACATCGCAATCATGGCGCCAAGTTTCGATCATCTCCCAGATCCAGAAGAAGATGAGTACGATGAGGAAGAGCTCGACATTTCCGATTTAAGAGAACGTTTCGAAGTACAGCTCGAGCAAGGACTCGATACTTTCGTTGTTATCGATGGCCTCCCAGAAGTTAACGAAGATACTAAGCCCAAGTTGATCAAATTTTTGTTGAGAAAATTGGACTCTGTTGGTCAAACGAAAAAGGACTCAATACACATGCCCATCGGACCAGATGGCAAGTCGCACAAGTAAGCTTTAGATGTTCTTTGTCATCCCTCATTTTATATATTGATAAGAATAGATTTGCCTTCGTCGAATACTCCTCCCCTGCTGAAGCTATTGCTGCATGCAAAGCCCTCGACGGCGTGCCCCTCGACAAGAAACATACCCTTCGAGTCAACAAATTGACGGATATTGATCGCTATGGTCGGGAAGGACGCATTGACGAGAATTACACCCCTCCAAAAATCGAAGAGTTCACCGAGAAGGAGCACTTGAGATCATGGCTTGCGGATCCAGCCGGACGCGGACGGGATCAATTTGTCATGTATAAGGATGACAGAGTACAAGTTCTTTGGAACAACGAGAAGGATGCACCAGAAAGTATCGTCGATCGCCAACACTGGACTGAATCATTTGTACAGTGGTCACCTCAAGGTACTTTCTTGACCTCGATGCATCAACAAGGTGTGCAGCTCTGGGGTGGGCCATCTTGGACTAGACAAAAGCGTTTCGCGCATCCTTTTGTCAATCTTGTCGACTTTTCGCCAGGAGAGAAATACCTTACAACATGGTCAAATAGACCAATCACTATCGGAGAGGAAGGACACCCAGCTTTGTCTATTGATGATGATGGAAAGAACTATGTCATCTGGGATATCGAGACTGGCTTGCCATTACGTTCATTCGCCAATCTTGATTTGCCAAGCAACAGCGTTGATGCAGACGGCAACCCTATCAAGAGGAAGATACAATGGCCAGCGTTCAAGTGGTCATCAGATGATAAATACGTTGCGCGTTTGACTCAAGGCTCATCGATTTCTGTCTATGAATTACCTAAAATGAATCTTCTAGACAAAACCTCGATAAAAATTGACGGTGTAATGGACTTCGACTGGGCACCAGCAACCCCACACCGTGAGGGTGTCAAGACCTATGAGCAACTGTTCTGCTACTGGACTCCAGAAATTGGCAGCAACCCAGCTAAGGTTGGATTGATGAGCATTCCATCTAAAGAAGTTGTCCGAACATTGAACCTCTTCAGTGTGACTGACGCAAAGCTCCACTGGCAATCAGATGCATCATATTTGTGTGTCAAGGTTGATAGACATTCGAAGTCCAAGAAATCTCTCGCGACTAGTTTGGAGATCTTCCGCGTTAAAGAAAAGGGAGTCCCTGTCGAGGTTGTTGATTCGATCAAAGACACCGTTATTAACTTCGCTTGGGAGCCTAAGGGTGACCGCTTTGTTATCATTACAACCGCAGAAGTCGTTGCAGCTACAGCCGTTCCACCTAAGACATCCGTATCCTTCTACTGCCCAGAGAAGATCAAGGGTAATGGTGTCGGTAACTTCAAGCACATCCGCACATATGACAAAAAGAACAGCAACGCCATTTACTGGTCTCCAAAGGGTAGATTCGTTATTGTAGCCACAGTCCACTCGCAACAAAGTTTCGATATGGAATTCTATGATATGGACTTTGAGGGCGAGAAGCCTGAAAGTGATAAGGACTTGACAGCCAACTTACAGCTTATGAATACCGCAGATCATTATGGTGTAACGGATATCGACTGGGATCCCACAGGACGCTTCGTTGCTACCAGTGCCAGTATTTGGAAACACACCGTAAGTAGCTAATATTCTTTTTTGATTAATATACTAACTATCAATAGATGGAGAACGGCTACCATTTGTACGACTTCAAGGGTGAGCAGCTTCGCGAAGAACCAGTTGAGAAGTTCAAGCAATGGTTGTGGCGTCCTCGACCACCCACTCTTCTCTCCAAGGAGGAACAAAAGCAAATCCGCAAAAATCTCCGTGAATACAGCAAGGTATTCGATCAAGAAGATGCCGACCGTGGTGCATCCGCCGATCTTGCTGTTGTCGAACACAGACGTAGACTCTTGGACGAATGGCTTGCATGGAGAGCAAATATGGAGGAGGATGTCAAGGCCGATAGAGAAGACGCAGGTCTTCCTCTTGACCCTCTGGAGCCTCTCAAATCTAAGATGGCAAGCGGTGATGAAGGACAAGCTATTGAGATTGAAGAAATTGTCGAGGAGATCGTTGAGGAGACTGAAGAGATTATATCATGAGTAGCCAAAGTCTCCCCACAGTCCGGAATATTTCTTTTATCTGTCCTTTACGACCATGTAGGGGTTGGAGTTGATAAAAGCTATGGCATTGATTTCGAGGTTCATGGACTTTTCCAATTTTTCTCGAGGTATTCACATATGCATACTAGGTAGATGAATAGTAAAAAGCTTGTGGGCAATTTGATTGTTTAAAAGAAAACTGAAGTGCCACCACAAGTACTTGGAATTGATATTGCTCAACTGTCTTGATATTATGATTCTTTGCTTGACCCATCCTGGTCAAGCACAAACAATAGATAATTGCCCATGTTTGACATTCTCAGGGCTCTCTTTGAAAATGTGAGTCTCGAGAGGGTTGTTCCTAGTGCGTTTGCCATAAACATCCAACAAATCTCTACATCTATTTTCATGTCTTTGCTACAAAATCAAAGATCTAGCTCCTAATTCAAACTATACTCAATAAAAGCATCCATCTTTTCCCCTGCAAAATCCTCGTACCACATATTGAACACATGCAGATAGATTCTTTTGATATCAAATGAGTCTGCATCAAAGTATCACATAACTCGGGTATCGTCTGAGAAAGGATGTGGAAAGGGTGGTTGGAGGCATGGTTCGAGAAATGGCATTCACTTCTGGTGATGAGTGGTTGTATGAGTGGATATTGAATGACTTCTTGAAAATCACTGGGAATGAAATGTCTATATGGTGAGAACGGAATGGGATTTCAGCATGAACAAGCTTTGAGGAGGAAATCGGGAGGGTTTATCGCTGGAAAGCTCTAACACTTGAGGCTAGCTAGAGGTCAAGTACAGGGGACGAAAGGGTTTGCCAAGTAAGAAAGTGTCTGCCTGTGAGGCTCGAAGCTTCGAGGGTTGTATGGTAAGGTTGGAAGATTGTTTGAGACAAAGCGAAGCAGGATGAGGTATTTCTAGCAGTTACTTCATGTATATGGCGAATGGTTTTATCCATGCTATGGAGATAGGATGGATGATTGCTATATACATTTGTCTTGTTTTCTAAAGGATATGGCAACTACACATCTTTTTGCACTTTATCCGAGAATTTTATAAGTAATTAATCATACCTCATAACATCAATGCATTTACCAACCAGCTTTTAACCATTTCTTAACCGTTCTAATCTCCCAAAGATGTGCCTGTTGAATGAACAATGGCTCGGCTGCAACATCCAAGATACCATAAGAGTCCCAATGATGACCCGCGCCAGAGATGAGAAACTCGGGGTGTAGATCTGAGGAAACTCGGGGGCTAGGCGCATAGTGGGAGTGGTAACAGAGGTCAAGCCATACGTCATTGTCTAGCATGATGTTAGTGTCTGATAAAGATTGAATTATCGAAGGCCGCAAGAAGATGCATAGATTCTATTAAGCTTGAAAATTACTCACCTCCGTCGATGAAAGCTAGACGATCGGCAGAGAAGTTGTATCCACCATATTGGTTCCATAAGGTAAGGTTGACGACTGGTGGGATAGAGTTGTAATCTCCAGGTGGAAATGCCCAGTTACACCATTGTTGACTGATCCGAGTTTAGCATGTTGCCGATTTGAGAAAGGGGGTGATTACTTACGTGTAATCTGGTTGGAGAACGCGAGAAATAAGCGATGGGCCGGTATCGGGTGCTGCTTGATAGGCACCAAGTTCAAGGCATGCTTTAGACAATAGTCAGTATATTGTGAGTTGGAGATATTCTAGGAAGTCACGTACTGGTGTAGAGATACGAACGACCTGCTCCATTTGTAACGTCGGCGTAGTACGTCTCGTTTTGGGTGCCAAAACAGGAGGTGCTATCGATAGGCTCGCCATCGCACAGTGGAATAAGGACACTCTTGATATAATTGGCATAATTTCCAAGATTTGTCCATGGCTCACCTCCTGTATAGTTTGAGAGGGCGTAATCGACCTCTGTAACCGTTTTGGGAGCATTGACGTTCGTGATGTTCGAGCAGAAGTCCCAGAAATCGTTTGAAGTATACAACGGACTCCAATTCAGTTCTTGCCATGTACTTGTGGGATAATTCATTGGCCCGCCAACTGTATCAAGTTAGCTGCGATAAACTCCAGACACACTCGAGGCTATTCTTACGAGGAAATGCAATAGTCATGGCAAAGTCTCTATGGTCTGTCAAAGCCTCAAGTCCGAACAAGGATTTAAATTCTCTGATCGCATATGTGTTGTTGGCGGATATAAGGGCGTCAAATTTATCGATAATGCCGTTAATACTTGATATACAGTCCTGAGGAGCCAATCTCTGAATCGGATTGTACCTAGGCACAAAGTTAGTTACAGAGTCCATGAAAGAATCAGTTTGTATTTGCTAACCATTCTGGATATCCCACAACAGTCTTGACAGGGGCGCTGGCAGCAATACCGCCAAAGAAGATGTCTGGATAAATTCTAACCAACAGTATCAGCTCTGTTGCCCTGCGTCTACATCTACCATCCAAGCTGTCGGTAGCCTGTGGGAAATCTCCAGATCTCTATGGGTGGTGATGGAATTTACTTTACTGATAAGGCAGTCTGACCGCCGGCCAAAGAGCCTCCGTAGAGTATCCATTTAGTGTCTGGTGCAGTGATACTAGCATTGAGCCCAGACAAAGATACATGTTGAGCGAAGTATGCATTGTCCGCAACGGCTGGAATCAAGTATGTTAGATTCAGTCTGTCAGGAGATGTAGTAGATGATACGAACTTTGTTGATTGGTCAAGTATGCCAAATTATCTGTTGTGCTGGTGTTGAACGGCCAGCTCTTGCCATAGTACCGGTTCTCGAGAATAATCCCAAGACCGTTTGTAGCTTCCATCAGTATTTGAATGACTAGAAGATGGTCAATAAAACGACCTAGTCAAACAGTTCAAAACATACTCCCAGTCTGAAGGTTGCTGAACCTATTCTGGCCATTGGTTTCTCCTCCAATGTAGAGATAGACCGGCCCCCCAGGTTTATAGTATGTCGCATCATACCAATACCTTTGTTTGAAAGTAGCATTTGTATGTGGAGCATACGCCGGATCATTTGGGAAATGATCAATCTACACATCAAAATCAGAACTTGCAAAGGAAGAGAAGCTTGAAACTCCAACGCACTGGCTGGTCTATAGTATATGGTGTATAGGCCAAAGTATCCCGCCTAGTTATCGATATTGGCGGCTCTCTAACCGTACCAACTTTTGTCAATATAGAAGCACATGTTGAACCAATGAGCCCAGTAACTACACTGGTCAGAACTAAATTGCACCTCATTCTCTGGAACGCGAAGTAAAAGAGAGAGGAAAAGATTATGATGGAATTGACATGAAATCAGTCACTCTATCACGCAACATATATGCCATGTTATAGTCCGCAGACTGTATAGTACCTTGCATACTAACTATACTGAATCAGGAAGCTGCGATGATTTGCGGTCTAGCGAAGTCGTGCTTTCTCCACGTATTTCTTCATGACGACACGCTCATACATGATCGTGAGTTGAACGCCAAGCCAGTTAGGGAAGCTTTATCTCGGAGTATAAATCTGTGAAAGAGACATCAATAGCCTTTCATTAGTGCCGTCATTGAACTTCGTATTAGAATACTGCTATTCGCCGGCACAGATGATAAGCATTTGAGATTCTGGGGTCGATTGGATACGGCTATGAATGACTTTCCTTTTCTTACTAGTAGGAACTAGGTGTGATTCAATACCCATTGATGCTTATACATTATAAGTTGAGAGATAGCTAGGAAAGCATGCTGACGATCCGGACGAGGGTGTGGCGTCAAGCAAAACCAAAATGCCACAGACCATTTCTGTGGGAGAAAAAAGAGGCCGGAATTGACCACTAGCAAAGCTCTTTAATAATCCAATTGTTCTATTCCAATTTAAATAATTAAAGATTTGAATACTTTTACAACTGAAGATTATTCAAGAATTTATTTAAAGCTATTAATTTCTGAAATTTTATTATTTATTGCTTTATTATAGAATTTATTATCCCAAGTAGAGACGGGTTTATATATAGGGGAAAAAAGAGGCCAAAATTGATTGCCCCAACAAATTAAATCAACCACAAATAAAATTATGAGAGCTGATAGCTTTGAACAAACACCTGAAAAAGCCTTCAGTTACAACACTATTTGAATCTTCAATTATTTGAATTGAAATACCCTTTCCAAAGTATGAGAAGAGGTCTTTTGAATTTGATAAACATTCTATAAGGGTTTTGGGGGGAGGTACGCCTCGCTTTTCATTGGGAAATTCTTGGCACTTTTTTGCTTGGTCGACAATCCAAGAATCCTCGAAATTCGCTTTTCAGAAAAGGCCTGTGTTGTATGTTGACGACACACTTGTGGGACAATTGGTTCAGGGATTTTGTCAGTGGTCAATTCCAGCATATCTTTTCTCTCACGCATAGAATGTATCTGTAGGTATCTGATGATATTCTACGAGATGCTTCTCTTCGATGTCCTTTCATCTATTTCCAACACGGTATTGGTATCGTTACTCTCCAAACTCAGAGGATGAAAAGGGATGTCTTGGAGATATATATGTACATCATGTTTGTTGCTCAAGTGGTAGTGGCTCTTGGACGTACATGCAACGATCCTAGGTCACTATTTGCGAACTATACGTCGACATTCATTTCTTATCACCGAATGATTGTGTCGCAGGTTATACATTCCAATTCGGGACGTATTTTCCCGAGATGAAGAAGGCGTGAGTCATTGTCATAGTATTCACGCCGACGATAGATATTGTCGAGGTAAAAATAGTTATTAATATATATATATATATATATGGGGTAGCTATCTATCCGATTCAAAGTTATATATCATATCAATTACATTTCAATATTTCGTTAATCATGATGGTCTTTTGGTTGCAAGTTGGTGCAGCAATCTTTGGTTTATACGCAGTATGGAGGATACAGTGGAAGTATTGGACAGCTCGACGAAATGAAACGGTACGGTACCTCTAAAGCTGAAATATGCTTCTCTTCTCACCTAGGTTCTTGTCTCGCGAGGTGTCCTGTTATCCCAAAGTTGTCTGAACAATTGACAGTTTTAATTGCTCAAGACAACATTCCCCACTTACTCGCCTACTTTAGGAGAAGACCCCCCCCTCCCAACATACAATATCACACAACGTAGCCAAGCGGCATTGTCACTCTCCTTTACTGCGTACCTATCCCAAGTCTATAGTCTAACCAATTCCGCAAGTCCAATTTCAATGACGAGAAAATATCGACCATTTCCAATCCTCCAAGCATCACTCCTTTATTAGATTTCGACTGGCGTACCACAGAGCCCCTCAAATTGCGACCTTTCAAACCAGTATATCACATGACAATGGGTACAAACCTCCCTCTGAATTCTGTTGTCCACTCGTTCTAAACTTCCTATACTTACAAAACAAAGGTATCCAATCATGTCCTCCATCTGAACTCATAGAAATGGACCGGACATACCTTGATCGCCTCGCTGTCCGCACCAACGTGATAAGAGAACACACCCCCAAAGTACTCCAAGCCCTCCCATCATCCCATGCTGCGATCCAGGAATTTTACACGGACTTGACCGCCAACTACCTCCCTACTCGCTTTCCCACTGTCTATTCTCTTCATTCTACATATCTTTTGAATAAAGCAACAGGCCATCATATTCCTCTCACTCCCTCCTCTCCTATCGAAGCTCTCCGTACCTTGGGCACAAATATCGATAGCGATTATCTCATTCTGGTTCCCTCTCTTGACGGCGACGGTTACATCTTGGGAGGGTTCATTACATGCTTCCCAGCCGGATTTGACACTCAAGCACTGCTCGGTAAGAAAATAAGGGATATTCATAAGCCCGTGCCAAAGTACAAAGAGAAGTTGGAGACAAGTATGTATCGAAGTTTCGATCGATTGGAAGTTGGGAAGATTATCAAGAGAGTCAATGTAAGTTTCTCTACCAATTCCTGAGACTACTAGGAACAGGTAAGTAACCAAACGGGACAGTGGTCGATAACTACCCACTCGCGCTTATATGTAGCGAGTGGAAATCATCTTTATGAAGACGAAGAAGCGAAAGAAGAAGAGTTTGATGTCAAAGATGTAGGCTCCTACTTCGTTCTGTCGTACCACTTTTTCCACAAGACTAATTTTCTAGGCGAACCTCCGCTGTGAACGTCAACTGATACATCGTCTTCCACAAACCAAAGCCTTGGTGTTCTCAATTAGAACTTATCTTACCCCAATTACCCAAATAAAAGAAGAAGGCCTGGGAGAGGAGCTGGCAGAGGCAATTGATGGTTTGAAGAAGGGAAATGTACCGGAGATACATTACTACAAGAAAGGTGTCATTTGGGGGGAGAAAGTCAAGGAATATCTGAGAAGTTAGGAACTTTGAGACACGACAAAATGAAACCTTCAGTCTCACCTCACATTGAGGCGTTGAAATCGTTCTAGATCAAGACTGTTGAAAGTGTCTGAACCAAGTTCCATTTTCAACCTTTCTTTGATGAACGAAGAATTACTATGTTCCTTCGAGATTAAACTCATTGTCAATTGTTGATTCAGAACTTTGGGATCTATAATCCCAGTCTGAATAATCTCAGACATTTGGTTAGTTTTGAGTATTGTTTCATTTTTTGTGTATTTCAAAAAGTGTGCCACGACTCTCCACTCTTGCCAGTAATCATGCCAAACGTACCTATCAGATGTGTTCCTGAATCAACAATCGAAGTCCGGACAATCGATTCGGCTTTGCCATTGCAATTTCGAAGAGTTTGTACCACATTGGTGTAGGGGAAGGCGAGCATGAGAATCTTAGTCTTGAGAAATACACCAGATCATGTCGAATTGGGGCTGACGACGATGCAGTCTAGTGTAAAAGGTAGTTGTCTACTGACGGACATACAAGGAGATATCAGGAGCCGGCTATCTATCTGGTAGAGTGAGGGAAACACACATGGTTATGTCACTTTAGAGACGACGGAAGTACAAGAATACGAATTTGAAATGAGTACAGTTTATATTAAATTGTAGGTTTATGCTATCTAAGCTCAAGATATCTATGAGTGCCTGCAATTATTTAAACACACGAATGATCTTAGGCCATCACCTCCAACAAAAGGAGATATGCAGCTTCAAGGTGGAGATTGCGGGTAACCTCTATTATTCTTGAACCTGTAGATGGCTTTGCGTTCCAAAAAGTGAAAGGTAAATCAAACTGTGCTGACCTATTGTCATCGGCACCAATCGAGTAAATGTGATAGAATGCCTTCTAGAGAACAGGATTATGCGCTGATATACAAATAGGTATGAACCATTTGTATACTCACACATCAAGCCATTGATTTTGTCTGCAAAGAAAAAAAAGATGATTTAAAAGAATGTAGCCTCAGCTGATTCCCAACCTTTCAGAAAAGTCTAAACGACATCTCAAAGTCAGGCGCCCAGCAACGGGTTATAAGTATTCTTCGCACAGCGCGAAAACATCTCGTTTTATTGAAGAAATCGAGTGCCGTTAAGTAATGTTTTAGAAGCTGGCGTGGTTTTGCAAGGGAAGGGAAGAAGGAAAACGATGGATGAGACGGGTAGAAAAGTAAAGAGATTCAACGCCGGAACAATCAGCAGTACTTACCGTATAGCTGCTGTGACCATACCTATCCCCTACCTATAACACCTTTGTATATGTATTTGTTTCGTATTGGCGGAACTGAACAGAGGCAGACAATCATTGATTGTGTTCGTCGAAGGAAGTTTGCACATTGATTTGCGAGTTATGAATACCGCATTGTCTATGATTAAATAGACCGCAAGAGCATAATGCGTGCTCTAGATCAAACGATTGTTTTCGAGGTATTTCAAGGTTGAATGAATATGTTACCAAGAAGGTTGGTGGTTGTTGTTGTTGTTGTCGTTGTGGTACAAAAGTTTTGGAAAAGAAAAAAAATCTGCATCAACTCATAGCTCTTCACTAGCGTCTGCGGTAACCGAGGAGCTATGACCAACAAGAAACCCTTCTCTTTCCTTCCAATTTCAACAATGAAACGATTAATAAACTTCCATTTGTATTGAGATATCTGTCATTGGATCCCCGGGACCTTTCAAGAGAGCCTCTTATTAAACTTCGAAAATTGCCAAGAATCCCGAAGATATGGACTTCTTTCATTCAATTGTGGGACGTACCTGAAATGCTGCACGCTTTGATCGCGTAAGTACTATTCAGTCGCATGTGTAGGTAGGTAGTCCATTATTGCAGTATCAAAACGTTATGCAGCTCGGCCACCAACAGTATCATCCTCATCCCTCCTTGATCTTGCAAGGTGACGACGAACATGTGCCATGTCAGGAAGGTATGAGGCAATATATCTCTGCAGAGGAACATAATTTCTTCTAGAAGCCTCACGGGACTTTCCAATTGAAAGGGAGAATGGCGCCATATTGCCCCCGTGAGTCTCATGCATTTTCCATTACGTTTTGATTCCTCTACCCGGAGCCCAAAAGCCTCGAGATTTCGCTCAACTTTTGCCTGTCATTTGAGTATTACGACTTGTTCGGTTGGCTCTGAATGTCTGAGGAATTGAATGGAATTCAATGAATTCAATGATTGGATGGGCGTTTCGAAACATGGAGCGCATAGCAGCATTAAATACATACATAGTACCACATGATCTGAAAGATTAAGGAGAATTTATTGTATTACCTGGCTTGGGAAAGTAAGGCTAAGACTCTATTTAATAAATTCCATCCTTTTTCATTCTCATTTTGTGATGTTGCAGGACATACACCTCGTTGTGTTCGTCCCATGTGGATCGAACGTATAAATATATACTTCCCCGCATTATCAGATTCGGTTTTCTCTCCCTTTTGATAGTTTTCACCTGTTGCGAATTCATTTTTCAAACAATTGTGTATCATCACGCAATAAGGTGTAATTCACTCATTCCTGGCGCAGTTAGCTCGGGTTGAAACAAAGAAATTTTGCGGCTATATTTTCAGCAGATTCTGACAATCACATAAAATATTCTCCTTTGATCTAAGTCCACCTCAAACGAACAAATTCTCAAGTAATGAATTTTACCCATATCTCGAAGCATCCTTGATCATTCAAAATGGCCGCTCTACCTCAATACCTTGCTGAGGAAGAGCTTCGACGTGCTTCGTCATCCTCCATCCGGTCGGCCAACCTCTCTCACGGCCGTGGCGGCGCTGGTAAGCTCTTTTCCGTTTATTTTGATTTACTTTAACGCTTTATTTGATTAACCTGTCTTTCTAGGCAATATTGGCACTTCTCCTCATGATGATGAGCCTCTCACCCTCAACACACCCACCATCAAAAGCGACATTTACACCACTGGTCGCGGAGGAAGTGGAAATATGGCGAAGAATACAGACCCCGAATCGGCCAGGCGAGTAAGTTTTCAGCCTACTTGATCGAAATATCCGTACTTGGTGCTAACAAGATGTAGGCGCAAGATGTCGTTGGGTAGGTAGAGTTCCAAAGCTCGAATCAATTTCAAACAGTGCTCAATTCTAACCTAAATGCTTTAGTAATCCAAGAAGGGAATCTTCTTCGTCGAGTCACGTCGGTCGGGGCGGAGCGGCAAATGTTTTCAAACCAAGCGAGGCCGAGATCGTTGCAGCGCGCAAGGATACCAGATGGGATAATGCAATCTCAGACGAAGATGAGCTTGATTACAGCAAGCCGGACAACAAGCTCGAATCCCAGAAAGGCCTAGCAGACAAGGGAAAGGCATGGTTGAAAGAAAGGATGGGTAAGGCTTAAACAATTTTATGGAGTCTTAGGCATGGGATGGAATGATACCTGGCGTTGATGGATTTGATCAAGTTTGGGAGATATGAGTTGCCCCTCACCGATAGTTGATATTGCACAGTTTGAGCATCGTCATGTGGCAGAGAACTGCGGCTTTGCTTCACCATCACAAGTCTTCCGGATTCAACGGTTATACGCGGCTTCTAATATAATTGCAATAAACACATAGGCCCTCTGACCAATCGATACGTTGATGCCGGTACTTGACATACTTATTCCTTGTCTATTGTGAAGATTAGCCACATCGAGAACGTGTGTGGACGGCGAATTTTGTATTCTGTTGGTGGCTTTTTGGGGGCTATGCAAGAACATGCATTTCTCACAACATCATCCATCTCACTTGCGGAATCATTATTATGTGCTTCTTTGATGGAAAGTGATAGTTAGTGACTTCTTTCATGGTACTTGTTAGGCAGTCTCAGTCGCGCGGCGCAGTTGAGACTTTTGCCATGGCTCGAGCATGGTTATACTTCGTGACTGGTAACATATTTGATCATTGGCATCCATATCTTACAAAGTTCTTTTGAATGTGCGTCTGTGGCAAAGAATGAATAGCTTCTCGCTCAGCATTCAAATGGGTACCCACGAACGTACAATATAAGAAGTAGATTGAATACCTGTCACATATGCAACCCCGTTCAAAATTACACTCCCGAACCGAAACTTTACATCATATTCGTTAATTTGTAAAGTCCACCAGCCACTATGACTTAATTAAAGTTTGTACACCATTTTAAACATCCCCTATAAAAATCTGAGAATCGAGTGATCTCTTCTGCTGTGCCTCGCAGTGCCTAGCACGATGTTTTCAAGATTAATTAGTACACTAAAGCACAAAAGCATTGCGGTATGCATTGCACATGCTGTTTTAGAGCCCTTTGCACGAAAGGCTAGATATAAGGGGGGAATCCGATTCTCTCTCTTGCAAGGGCCTCACAATTTCCTGATAGTATGCTATCGATATAATATATGGAACAATGTGATTGTACAATATCTATATAATCTATGTGATAATATGATTGTTGGATATGGATATAATGTATGAGATAATGTGATTGTATAATATCGATACAATGAATGTATGGAGCAATATAACTGTGTGCTAGGTGCCGATTACAATACACAGAACTATTTTTATATCCCTACAAGTATAGTTGATCAAATTATCTAGTATGTACCAGTAGAATCCATGAGTTGCGGTTTTCCGGTATACAAAGACTTTGTCACAATGATTCGATTTTCTCGCAGTCTCTACAATAAAACACTATGAATAACAATGCAGCGATGGGATTATTAGAAGTATTTAATATTTACCTCCATCTTAGAAAGTTTTCATTAGCGATGCGTAATTTTAGATTCCCTACTAGTACATACATACACATACCTCCTTCCTGAAAAGCATCGTTGTGAGATTGATACACATGTAAAATCTTTTAGTTGCAGATAGTTGATACCCAGTCAGCACGATGCGACGCTCTACTTATCCCGGCACCCTTCCCTCGGATACGTACCGATGCCTCGGGGTTGGCGAGCTCATAATATGTATAGATTACTGATCGATGCATGCATCAATATGTACTCTGTAGAGAAATAGTAAGCATATACTTATGTAACTTTGTTTCTACACAGGTGAGGTAGAAAGGGGAAATGAAATGGTATGCAGCTTATGAAACTGTGATACCGGGTCGTGGCAAGGAGGCACATGAAAGGACCATGATGTCCGTACATGGAAACATAAGACCACTTTTTCGAGCGGGGGTTCTCGGGGTAACACGGCAGCCGTTGGAGATGAGGGGAAATGCCATCTGGAAATAAAGTTGTTGGGTTGTACGGGGTAGACGGTGGGATGGGGGGGGGGGCAAAAGTGTGATTTCATTGGATGCCATGATAAAGGAGATAAAGTCCGGATCAATTAGAGCACAAGGAAGATTCTCAGTGTGTCTATATAGATACTGTATCAACTGATGGTTTGAAGTATCGTTCAAATTGTCTAAAGTTGAACTGAACAGAAAAAAAAACCTGATCTAGGGACGAGAAACTAAATGCTGTAAAAGTATCTTAGCGATGTTGCTACACACCCCTGAATTGCTAAAATTCGGATTTCTGCAGCATCTCCGAAGAACTACCTAGTCTAATTGAGCGGATGTGCTTCCGTTTGTTTATTAATTTGCCGCATTTATTCCTTCAAGTGGTCAAAAATGACAAAACGAGATATAAATTCATAAGTAACGTCACATATTCCTGTCAGCTAATCCGATAAACCCCACAGTGACTTACTCAGTTGCGGACACTTGGGCCAGCTCTAGGCTTTGCTTTAGCTTGTCCACTTGTATTGATAGGTACTGACTTCCCAGCTTCCGTCCCTATATCCTTGATATCCTTGACCTTGTCTTCACTCAAGTCAAGACCCAAGTCTCAAGGTTTCCAATCCTGGGTTGGCCGAAAAGCATTACCCGGCTGCCCGCAATATGCCAATGAAAAGCCCCTCCAAATCATACCCGCATATTCATTATCTTACCTAACAGGGTGAGTTTTTGGGCCCCAAAGACAATTTCATTCGATCTCACGAATTTCCAACAAATGCAAGAACGTTCCGTTGGGTATGATGTTCAAGTGCTTACTAGAGTTTGATCATAGTATGGCGTATTGTCGGACCATGATTATGGATTATCTTTGGACCCATTGGATCATTGGTTCTGGTCATGGAGAATCTCTCTTCTAAGCCTTTAGTCAGGAGGACGTAATTCACATTCAGCCAAACAGGATGATGTAAGGGACCTTGTCATTTAACCTCGTCGTGCCACTCTAATCAGACCTAGTATCTATTACTAAACCCTGATCCTGATGCTTGCATCTACGGTACTTTACCAAACCAACGGTAAACATCTTCCTGGCACCTTCGTTATTCATACCAATAGGACTCTCCTATTCTTGTTAGCATATCATCATCCTTGATAGCTGAGCATGGGGTAGAAAGAATTGTATGACGAGCTCATTAAGGTCTGATCACAAACGATCTTCGAGGGTAAACGCGATCTGAATTTTTGAAGAGATAGGTAGAAGATTGAAGTGGTAGCTTATTTAGCTGCATCTTTGGTTAAAAATACATTCTCTGTTGATTCTGCGATTTTAAGTCGATGGCTCGATCAATACTACTTCGTATACAATACTAAGTCATCCTTAACGGTACTTGGTGAGATCCAGGTGGAAGCGAGCAGGAACCAACCAGGAGAGGCATCTATGGTATAATCAAGCAATAAACATAAATCAGTGATACGAGGGGTCTTTAAAATGATCCGTAAATGATTTTTGGGGAGAGGCTTAGTACCTATCATTTCTCAGCATGGCGTATTGTTGTATGCAACCTAAACTCCTGCCGCTTCACTGCCGCAGCACATCTCTCTTTTAAGACGGCCCAGCTGCTCCCCGATTCCCAATTCCCAAACTGTCAAACGCTTGTGCATATGCTGGGTGGCACATTTTCTATATCTTGCTACCTCTACGATCACCCGAATAGATCTATCTATGAATTCCAACTTTTAGGAATTCATGCTTAAGGGTGCCAAGCATGCATGTACGCCGCCGCAGAGACAAGCGATACTTACTTTTACCAGACGAGTTTCATTGGGGTAATTCGGATTAAAATTTGTGACGGCTGCACTGTAACACAACTCATGATCAACCCAGCAATTTGGGCTTCGGTGCCTTTGGGGTTCCCATCGGATTTTCCTCCTTTAAAAACTGCTGGGGTGGAAGGGAATTTGATGATATGACATGATAATGTAAAGTAACGAGAATCCAGCCATATGGGGTTAACGTTAGGGTCGTGAAATGACCATCAGATCATACTGCATTATTAGACCATACTGGCCAATTGAATTCTACAAATCATCTTACATAGAAAACTTCAGATTACATGGGAAATCAATGATATGATACTTATGTGATGGTTGAGGGGAAAGTCCTGTTAGATTCGATGATATTATGTGATTGGTTATAATGTAACTATCAAATCGAACTTACAATCTTACTTACCGTATTGTGATAGCTGAATTGTTCTAATTTTGATGCGTTTCCATTCACCTCTGATCAGATTTGTATGAATATCCACGATGTGTTGTATAAGAATTGCTTTTAGAACACTACTCGTTGAGTGGTTCCCCTGAATCGATACTTCATCAGTGCCTGTACCTAAGGTAGTTCAGTGATTTTTGTGCTGGCTGATGATTAAGATATACGAAATACGAAGTACGAAAGCCAGAAGTACTTGATCAATCTCTATTTTGAGCCAATTAACGATTTGGGTGCTGTGTAGGTAGGTAGATATGTACACCCAGGTACCTAGTTGAGCCCTATAAATAACAGTAATTAGCTCAAATAAACACCGCTGTAAGTTTTAACAGCAGTAACTTAGGTTCCGGGAGATCAACGAGTTACAAAACTCAAATTGAATATCTAGTTTACTGTAGTAAGAATGAAGGGGCGTGAATAAGAATTTCCAGAATCCATAATGATATGAGATTGTGTATTTCCATTTCAAGCTTTTCTACCCGCTGTCAAATTTGAGCACCAAATGAAGCATTACCTACCTAGTAGTTCTAGATTAACTAGCTAGTAAGGCAGTGAGTGGATCGTGGGCATTGAGTAGTGGGCAGTAAGTAGCGGGCACTCACTCACCTCACTCTATCAGGCCTAATTACCCCTTCATCTGCCGAAAGCCCCTCAAAGACCCCCAAGCAAGTTGTAAGACACAACAGAAAAATTGTTCACATCGTGTACTAGGTATCTGATGCCATCCGCCTATTACGGCATTATCACATTATCCCATCCGTTTGACAAACCTTAAAGATTCTGTAAAGGGTCAAGAGAACTTAAGGAGAAGAGAGGAACTAGGGCATTTCTGCGGAAGGTGTCTGTTCTGTTTGGTTGTGTGTACCCTCTGAATTCTCTCACCAAACATTTCGTTTTGAGGCTACAATACGATGATAGTATTTGTCCTCTGTGAAGAAGAGATTCCTCTGAAGACTTTGAAGAAGGAAGGGAGAGATCCGAGCATCGATACCTTGACCAACCTCTACTTCTGCCAATCCCGCCACCCCCCCCCCCCCCCAATCCCACACACACACACACACACACTATCTAGGAAATTCCACTTCCCAGTGCCAGTACCAGTCCAGTCCAGTCCAGTCCCAGTGCCCACATACCTACATCCGTATATAGCACTTACATACATACATACCTACATACATCAATTTTAGCGTGCAACGCTGCACTGAGCTAGGAGGTGTCCTATCGTGGTTCCGCGCTTTTAAGATTATCCTTTGACAACCAGGATCATCTTCAAGGTTATTCCTTTTAACCAAAAACCTTCAGACGGACTTTTCGCTACCGAATTATTTGAAGCTACATCCATTGTCATCATCATCTTATAGAAGTACATATCTAAACCGTTGACCTCATCTATCATTCATATCGTTCATATATACATGCACATTTATACCGTCACATACCCGTTTCCTCTCTTCACATCTATACCGCTTCATAAAGAATTTAAGATACGCAAATATTGAGAAAGATCGATTAATTAAGGGCTAGGCTGTCATTGACGACGGCCAAATAAAAATTATATATTAATCATGAATACTACAGCATATGCTTCACCACCTCGCGATATGCATCCTCGATCAACCATGCCAAGTCTTCACGATACAACATATCGACCTGGTCCACCTCATCAGGGAGCTCCATACTCCATGCCACAAACAATGGCATCTCAACATTCAACCATTTCGGCCTACGAACAATACAACAATTCTCTGCCTGTTTCTCGTCCTCCTCCTCCTCCAGAACATTTGCCATCCTCAGAGGCTGTGTCGTCATTTTCTATTGGGCTTCCAGGTCAAGAACCGTCCCCTCGGTCTATTACTGTAGATGGGAGAAAATATACGTATGTTTTGATTTTGGATCGAATTCTCCCCCTCATTTTGGTCAGGGGTGGCATATTAAACTTCGATTGTGTTATCGGGGCGAGCGTCGCTGATTGATTTTCTAGTTTGGAAGTTCAACAACAACCAAAACGAGCTCGAATGTGTGGATTTGGAGACAAGGTAAGGACCAAAGAATTTAATGAGAACTAATCTTCTCATGTGGTCTTATTCTCGATCATAATTGACCATATTTAGGATCGTCGGCCTATCACTCCTCCTCCATGCGTCAAACTAAGTATAACAGAGATTGCCACTGGGAAAGAGGTGGACGTCAAGTGAGTTCCAACACCATACATCTATACAATCATTCTAATGTCTAAATAGCAACATCGAACATGTAATGTTTGTGCTTAACGTAGACTTATGGTCAGCGGATGGCGATCGACCAGTCAATCTTGTCCGCCACTCGCAAACTTCTCCATCGATCTCAGCCACAGTTCCAGTATCTTATACACAAATACAAGGAGGTGCAGCTGCATACTCGAGCCTACTTCCCGGACAAAGTCAACGAGAGCCCACCAGCCCAACATATGGTAGTGCGCCACCTTACCAGGGAGCTGGTTTCAGTCCGTTTCCAGGCCCTCCACAAGTGAGCGCATACTCACAGCAACAACCCGGACAACAGTCGGGTTACGGTGGAAATCCTAACTACCCACCTCCAAATGGATACCAAGTACAACCTCAACAGTCAAACTATTATTATCCCCAACGTATGAACCCCTTGCTGAATTTGATGACTAGGAATGTAAAATATTGTACTGATCAACTTTTCATAGCATCTCAATCCGTCCCAAGCCACAATAATCAAGATCCTTACCCCTCTCGTCCTTTCACCCCACAAGATATCGGATTAGGTCGCATACCCATAAGCCAGACAAATCCCCCACAAGGAATGTTCACACGAAATCTCATTGGCAGTTTGTCGGCTTCTGCATTTCGTCTTACAGACCCGGATGACCGAATCGGGATCTGGTTTGTGCTTCAAGACCTTTCCGTCCGAACCGAAGGTGATTTCCGGTAAGCTATCAATCTACCTAGTCATTGCTTAGTACGTCTGGTACTAATATTAAAGCAGCCTTCGATTTTCATTCGTCAATGTTGGTGTTCCTTCAGCACCACAAAATAACGCCAACTCATCGTGTTCCGTCAATACTGGAAAAGCCCCTGTTCTTGCCTCATGTTTCTCGGAGGTGTTTAAAGTTTATTCCGCAAAGAAATTCCCTGGTGTGGTAGAAAGTACAGCATTAAGTAAATGCTTTGCTACACAAGGTACGACCATACCCCTCTTTCTGACAGCTCGAAGAATTGATTCTAATGAAATTAAAAGGTATCAAAATCCCAATCCGAAAGGATGGAAAGGATGGACCAGGAAAGGGAGGAAAAGACGGTAGCCGAGGCGATGACGACGATGACTATTAGAAGTCAACCTCCGTCTGGTCTTACGCCTTCTCGACATAATATTTCCTCAAAAACTACGCGCATATACCACATCATTTCCTGAAGCCAATTGAAGCACCGTGCACTATTTATTCCCAGACTTTTACTATTATTACAGCTCCGTTTGTTCAAATTCAGGTTTCCCAGCGCGTGTTTGTTCTTGATCTGATTTCTAGAACATGAGCCGACATCGGAAGAGAAAGAAGGATAAAAAGAAATCACTATCAGGCGTTACGTTTTATGGCAGACATACATATCCGTTTTCCGTATTGTGTTGTGTTTTTCTGCTTGAAAAGACTTGAATTGGCTTGGATACAGGGACGGAGTACGGCGTGGCGATATAGGCATGGGTTTTGTTTGCATGTTGGTCGATTTATAGCTGGAAACCAATTTGTCCAAGCTCCGGAGAGAAGTGAAGGAGTTGGTATACCTACGGCTCAGTTGGTAAATCTTGATGTATAGAACAGCCATTGTGGTGTATTACATATTCACTTCGTACAATTCCAGACGTATCTATGCATACCTACCTAGGTACTCATGCCATTGACAATTACCTCCGAAGTCTTTAAGTTCTGAAAGGTCATGATAATAGATTGAATAGTTTTTCGTGGCTATCCTCTACCCTGATCAGGGCGACGTGACAGTGTGGTAATAGCTATTTGTTAAGTTTCTCCCATCTTCCTTTGAGCTAGCGATACGGGGGGTAAGGAGGGAGAGGGGGAGAAATCGATCTGTTGACTAAGTAGATATCATCAGGTATCCATGGCTTAAACAAGTTTCATGCTGAACCCTCGAAGGAGCATCCACACAAATCAACGCGTATATAAAGCATGGGCAATAATAAAGTGCAGGGGATAATGGAAGCTAACGCGATGCCCAATCCCCAGACGGGGAACGTTAATTCTTTCAGATAGGTGTCGGGGATTGTTCACAAATCGAGGAGCTCATAGTCGGTGAGTTTGATGATCTTAGTATGAGTGGTATATATATGTTGGTTGGGATTTCAATTCTTTGCAACCTTTCCTAGAAATAGCCAGCTATATCCTACATTCAGTTGATTCAAGCGCTCACTCTCTCCTGATATCATTTCAAGTACCTATCTGTAGATGCATGCTCCTATTCACCGAAAGATGCAGACTCCACTACAGCACATCCATTCATATTAAATAGTATAATCGACTCCAGTCTACTTCTCCGGATGCATGAAAGTCCCACATCTTAATCACTATAGTCATCCTCATCCCTATAATCGCCTAACAGAACATCGTCTACTCCTGGGCCACCTAGCAGTCCATTTGCATTACCCTTTTCCTTTTCTCGTCCCCATTCCGTCTCCACTCGAAGGAATATCCACATCCATCTCCTAGCGACTTCCAATACCTCTAATAAAAAAATGCCGCTTTCAAAATCGGCAAAGTGGTCAAGATGAGGAGAGAGTTTGAGAGACCATGTGAAACGGAGGAGGAAATCAAAAAGGATGGCAATGTAGTAGAGCTCTTGTGTAGGGAGATATAGGCGAGGTCGAAGGGGGTAGGAGGCTGTGTTTTTTGATGATGGAATCAGGAGAGTGAGGTCCCAGTCTTTAGTCACATCCCAGTAGAAAGAGTATAGAGAGTTGATGAGTACGCTTAGTAGCCAGAATCGATAGAGTGTTGTTGTGGTAATGTTTATCGAGGTTTCATTTACGGAGAGGTTTCGCTGCATAGCAGAGAATATAATCACAGGAAATGCCGTGGAATACTTGAGCGCATTGGCTAAGTGTTGACCTCCCCATCCAGCAGTAGATGAGCGTGAATTCTTAACTCGTAGGTATTCGATTATGCATTGTCGGAAACGAATAAGCGAAGGTATCGCGATCATAATCGGTACGAGATATTGTCCACCACAACCACGATCAGGCCGAGAAGTTGCGCTTCCAGAAGGGGTGAAGAACATGCAAAAAGAGACGAAAAGGTCGGCTATAATTTTCGCATAGGAGGTGAGAACATCAGCCAGGAGGATGTCGCCGAACTTGCCTTCATTAGGAAGAGCGAGACCGCCAATTGAAACACGCTTAAGGGCGGAGAGAAAATGGAGACGACCAGAGTAAGATGCGCGGCGTAAAGGAACCAGAAATGCGAGGAAGAGAAGGCAAATGTAAGTTATCGGAAGAAAGTCATAGTATATTACTAGAGCTGGGTCGCGGTGTGAGAGTGCCCAGAAAAGGAGGATTGAGAGGACAAGGGGGATTGTGAGATAAGTAGCAAGTCGATACGCAGACAAATGATGCGGAGGATCAGTTCGTGGAGAAGCTCGTTGTGGGTATTGGATGAGTGAGGGAACGTTCTGCAAGGCACTTGGGTTAGAGTCTTCTGGGAGTTCGAGTGAAATGATGATTTACAATTTTAACAATTGAAAGATAATGAAGATTTGCGCCCCAAGCCCAGACTCCTATTGAATGTCAGCAAATAGGCTTTGGGAATATACTTGGTAGAGAAGTACTACATACCTAATACAATGATCAATGCAACTCTATAGGGTAAGGGAAGAGTGCGACTGAAAGAGTCGAGCTCATTCTCAACAGCAGGGTCTCCATCCATTCTACCATCTATTGCAATACCACATCTGCCGCACTAAGCTTGTAATGAATGACTGAAGTGAGATGTAAAGAATTGAATTGGGTATAAGTGCAAACGACACAACAATACTGGGTAACTTATTAGAAAGGGAGACGTTTTCATATGAATATCCCAAATTAATCTGATACGTAAGGAAGCCACATGGAAATTAGATAAGAGTAGCTGGAGCCTCGAGCTATTTCAGCCACATTGTGGCACAAGGCTGAGGAAATGGCGGAAAGCTCGACCTCGGCTCTAAGCTCTTGATTCATTGACACATTCCTCACGCAACCTTTGTGAAACCTACCAACCTCAACTTTATAATAACATTTCTCTTTAAAATCTAATACATATAATGACAGATCATGTATCTGAGATCTCCTCCTCGGATGACAAGGGTCTATCCTATCAGTACCCATTCGCAGCAGCACCAGATATAATTCGATCACATCAAAAAGATGCATATTTTGAAGGAGTTCTCCTGAACCATCTTTCAAATCTCCTGCGCCGGTTGTATGGAGCAAGATTTCTTCACACTTATACCAATGAAGCGCGAACATTTTCAGAATTACTCTATCTCGGCCTCACGACTTTCATTGGCAACCGGACATTAGGAGAAGAGTACTGTGACATTGTTCAGATTGAAGACGATACTTTAAGACTTCCCGACATTTCTCGACGCGCGGGTTATATTTTAAGTTCGATACTTCTTCCATATTCTCTTACCAAGATCCTTCCATCATTTCGAACTCGTATCCGTAACAAGCTCGAAGCCAATCTCCGCAAGCTTACCCGAAAAGCACAAGAAAAGTCATACTCCTACAGATTTCAACAATATATTCTTACCTATCTCTCAACAATCACGTCACCCTCACCCGTTCACGCCCTTACTCTCACCGTCTTTTATTTCTCGGGGTCTTACTATCAACTGTCAAAACGCCTATTGGGACTACGATATATCTTTACAAAGCGCATTGCTCCATCGGAGCAACGTGTAGGATATGAAGTCTTAGGTGTACTTCTCCTCCTTCAAATGAGCGTGCAAACCTACCTCCACCTAAATAATACCTTCTCCACCGATGTTCCTTCCACTGCATCTGGAAGTTCCGCCATTCTATCTAATGGCGTAGAAATCTCCCTTGACTCCCCATCTTCTCCTAGCGATCTCCTCGCTTCATCCTCAGCTATACCCCATTCCTCCCGCTCTATTGGCAAAACTACAAATACACCTGTGCTAACAGGTGCAAGATATGATCTGAGTGATAACAAGGTTATGGGATGGATAAAGGGGGAGCAAAACAGAAAATGTACTTTGTGTTTGGAGGAACTGAAAGATCCGAGTGTGTTGGGATGTGGACATGTATTCTGTTGGAGTTGTATTGGAGATTGGGTCAGGGAGAAACCGGAATGTCCTCTATGTAGAAGAGAGGTTTTGATTCAACATATCCTCCCATTGAGAGGATGAAGGGGCGAGCAATTGGAATAGGAGTTCAAGCGAACTCCCGACACGGATATGATGTTATGAATAATTTGAGATGGATGCATACAAGCATTATATAATTTAATATGGAAGTTACCTATCGGGGTAAGATGTTTAGTTCAATCTGTCAAATGGCGCATAATTAGATGCAGGTTTCTAAGACATCAGAGTGCGGTCCAATTCCCAAAATTTTCAAAGTTCTAAATCTGCAAATCGTTGGATAAAAACGTCATTTACTGTATAAAGTATATCAAATTTCTCTGATCTCAATCCTTGTTTATATCAAAATTAAAAGACCCTCCCTCGTTTACTGCCTGTAGGAGCGAACACATTAGGCGAAGCGTGCTCCCGGTAAAAATCAAGTATTGGAAGCAAACAGAAGCTGTACATGAAGGGGGTGATCATAATTAAGTCGTTTGCAAGTGTCGGAACCTGACAGGATACCAAGACGTTGAAATGCATCAACCCGAAGTGCCACAGCCACCTTGAAAAGATAAATAGATAAGATCACCAAGCATCACGCATAACATGCATGCGACCTGGCTACAGGCAGGCTGGGCTTCGATTAGCAGCAGGTGATTGAAAAGAAAGTCGATGGAAACCAGAAGATAGGGGGATGATCCAGGGTAGTCCAATCATGACGTTGATCAAATCTCCAAACCAATTAAAACAGTCAAGTCATTTAAGATGTTGGATTTGATTAGAATATTGAACTATCTTCAAATGTCCATTTGCTTTTAGATATTCAAAGCCCCGCATTGTTGGACTGCAGTTTGTATTCTTGGATACCCTGGGAGAATCGGCGTTTGCATCTGATCGACCTATTTATTTTATTGAGGGATAAATCCCTCTCATTTTTCCTTGCTCGATATCCATCGACTCCTCAACTCACAGCCGAAGTCTAACGGTGTACTCATCCCACCAAAATGGATGTTGACAATGTGTCAGAGGTTTCTCAGTATGTGCAGATACTGGAACGACAGCGGATGGCCTTGAAAGCCGCCATGCGTCGTCAAGGACAGCACCCCAAAGACATGAAATCTCGACCGGAACTCATCAGAGACTTCATGGTGAATGCTTTGTCGCAGCAAATGTACTGGCTTCTAAGACAAAACAGCATGCAGTTACATACCTCCTTTGTTGCCAATACATATGCACCATCTACTACGCCTCTTAGCAAGTTGAAGCCAATACAAATCAAAGACCTGAGACTAGAAACTCATCACCGCGGTAGCTATCTTCTCGTCCGGGCATCAACACCTCCCATCAGAATGACAGCAATCATGGCTATTGTTGAGGACGAAAACGAAGATGCTGTACAGCTGCAACTCTATCAACAGCTGGACGAGAAGGTTCGCCCCGCTACAAGTGTCATCATGAAGGATGATGCTTTCTTAGTAAAGGAGCCGTATTTCAAAACTACAAGTGATGGTGGTTATGGTCTCCGAGTTGACCATGTGAGCGATATAACCTACCTCGATGCACATCACAATCTGTTGCCAGAGAAGTGGAAGCCTACGGTTATCGACATCAGTAAGACTTCAGAGGACTGGAAGCAAGAAGGAAACGAGGCGATGGAGAAGAGACAGTATTGGGAGGCCATTCAGAAGTATGATATAGCCTCGCGTATCACACGTGGAGATCCTTTTCGCTAACCCTTTTTATCATAGTTATACCGCGGCTCTCAAATGCAGTCCTTCCGCACATCTTGCAGAGATAATACGTCTCAATCGTGCATTGGCATACCTCAAGGATGGAAAATTTGATGCTGCATTGATTGACACGGGATGCATGATCTCCCTTATAGATGCACCAGAAAAGGCACTGTACCGAGCAGGGCAAGCTTTATATGGGCTCGAAAGATTCTCTGAATGCCATGATATCTTCGACCATCTCTGCGCAAAGTATCCCAGTAATTCTGCTGCTACTGCAGGACTCAAGCGGGTCTGTCGCCGTGTAAAGGAGCAGGAAAGTGGCATGTACGACTTTAGGTCAATCTACAAGGAGCTTTCAACAACTAGACCACCGCACTTAGACCACGCGACATATGTTGGACCGGTCGTCGTCAAGTCTTCCCCAGACCGTGGAAAAGGATTGTTTACTACCAGAGCCGTGAAGGCTGGAGAACTGCTCTTGTGTGAGAAGTCGTTTGCTCATTGTTATGCTGGAGCGTCAACAGACTCGGATGTCCATGCAAAAACCACCCTTCTGATCAATGTCCATACGAATCGAATGATAGTCGGCACGCAGGGAGATCTCATAACGGCCATCGTACAAAAGCTCTGGAAGAATCCATCCCTTATTCCTGAATTTACTGCGCTTCATCGTGGATCTTATAAGCTTGCGAAAGAAACCAAGGTTGATGGGAAACCAGTCATTGATACGTACGTTGCCATCCTGAAATAAATTGTTTGAAACTAATACCGTATCTTATAAATAGCTTCCTAGTTGAACAAATCATGGCTCTCAATGTCTTTGGCTGCCCGCTATCTACCTTGGAGAGCGATTCATCAGAGCCCGAAGAGGATGACAAGCATCACTCATGTGGCATCTGGCTCATGGCTTCAAAGATCAATCACTCCTGTCTTAGCAATGCTCGTCGAAGCTTTCTTGGCGACCTACAATTGGTTCGGGCCACAAGTGATATACCCGCGAATACAGAAGTCACATATTGGTACAAACTGCCCACGGGAGAGAGCGATGAAATGCAAAATGAATTGAAACATTGGGGATTTCGATGCAAGTGTATCATCTGCATTGATTCGGAAAATACATCCAGAAAAGAAGTTACAAGGAGAAAGAAGTTGCTTAGAAATCTGAAGATAGTTTTCGATGCGAGCAATGTGTCTATTCCTCAGGCCGAACGTTTGTTGAGTGCTCTCGAAAAGACGTATAAGCGTCCGGCAATCGACATTCCACGACTAGCTTTACGAGAATCATATTTCAGATTAGCTCGAGTTTATTCCCGGCAGGAAATGACTCAAAAAGCTGTATCTACGACGCTAAGAGCCTTGGAGTCCACTGGCTTCGTGATCAACAATGCAAGCTTACCTGCGCTACCCGGCAAACCTCTTGAGATTGCAAAATGGGGTTTAATGTTGCCTGGTGTAATCGAGGCATGGGTTTATCTCTGCAGTGTTTATTCTATTTTGGCTCCGCAACATTTGCAGCAAGCTAGAGAGTATGCAAAGTTAGCATATAAGATTTGCATTGGAGAAGATCACACTTTCAAACAGACACACAATGTTTAGGTAGAGAAGTGCAGTCTTTGTTGGCTAGAATTTGGCAGGGAAACTATCGTGAAAGTAATGGATGCGGCATATGCTCAATGGAAATTTAATTCAAATTGATCTCAGAAAGTCTAGAATCCTGCAAGCATCTTAGTTAGGTCAATCTTGGGTGTGTATGCTTCGCGCGCGGTTGAAGCGCCTCTTCGCGACCGCTTCATTGTATTGTTGGCCTCGCCATATAACCTAACATCTGACCCTACCTACAATCATCAAACCAATTCCAACTTGACGAATTATTATTCTTCGTGAATCTTTTGAATGTGGAAAGTGAGGATGAAGGAGAAAGAGAGGGGGGGGGGGGTGTATTTGTACTGGCGCTAAGGATAAGAATGACACTAGTACTTCTAGGAAAGTACTCTCATCGCTCCTTCCATTTGAAGGCTGATATTGAGACGTCCAGCCCCTTCCATCCATCATCTAATTGTCTAGTCATGATTTGAAGATTGAAAATATTACGGTTGACATTCAAACGTTCTTTGGTGTGAGAATTACCTACGTACACATGAAGAAATCATACTTCGATAGCATCAAAGAATTTTAAGGATCTCTCAGCCCACCTCGTGAGACCTTATCATGTCCAAATCACCATGGACGAAGGTCTTCCAGTGACAGACAAGGCCAAAAAGGTAGCGAGTTAAGTTTAAGTGAACGGTCGAGGTTAATGGCTGTGCAGCCATCTAGAAACTCTGCTGCACTGCACACCCATCCATAGTCTTATGTGTCTCTTCTCCTTTCCTCCCAATGTATACATCTTTTTGATCGCCCTTTTCTTTTCTCGCAGTCTCTCTTTAGTCACACGGCAGTTTACACCTGTAACATAAATATTTACAGGAACAAGATCATATTCTCAACCGATTGGAGATACGCTTTAGCTGGTCTAATCGTCCGCATCTTGAAGAAACATTCATACGTATCTTTAGTACTCTTTACTTCTACTTTACTTTCACCAAACCCCTCATTCTTCATCCATCACATAACCAGGAGTACCACTCTCGAGTCACAAAATGCATATCCTCCCTCTCCTCTACACCCTCTTCCCCTTCCTATTCTTCACATCCGCCACCACTCTCTCAACCACCGAAAGCGAAAGCCCCCTCCAAACAATCACACAAAGCACCACCCCCAACACCAACCCCGCATCATCACCCCCTTCCCCCTCCCTCTCCCTCTCCCAAACCCCCATCTCAAGCACCCCCCTCTCCTCAGGAACCTACCTCCCCCCCACGCGCCTCACCTCCCAAACCAAATCCACCCTCTCCCCCAACTCCACCGCATCGCTCATCCTCACCCCAACATCCTCCTCCTCCAACGCCTTCGAATCCGAATGGAACAAAGTAACCAACTGGCTGAGCGGGAGCGGCGCGTCTTCCCTTCACCCCGGATCTCCCTACTGGGGAGCGTGGATTATTATTGGAGTGGGAGTGGCTTGGGGAGGTTGGTGAATACCCATCTAGGTACAACACGTAATATGTAAGAGATGTAATGTGTGATGTGTCGACATGGAGAATTGAAAAATCAGGAAGAAGGGTGGGATGTACGATGAAACAGATGAAATGAATAACGACGCCACTCGCTGGGAGAGTCGACTTGCGCAAATTTGATAGGCTCCTTTATAGATAATGACACCCATTTAATATATGACTTGGGGCTGGACAATCCACCCACTTCACATAGCAAGATCATTATGGCATGCGTATTTACTTCTTACATGTAAGCATCTGCCGGACAAGAAAATTGATGTCATGTTTGTTTGCTCCCCAAAAATGTTTTAAAGTGGCTTGTTCTTTTGAGTCATGATAGGATTGAAGTGAGGACATCCTCTAGTCCCTCTTGTAAATTTCCGACCAACATGCATTCTAAACAAGCTTTTCCTTAGAAATTGTTCCGTCTCTATCTCTTAATCTACTCTACTTTGCTCTAATGAAGTACAATGGAATGCGGCGCCTTGTAAAATATCCAAACGCCCTCGCCATGCCCAGCCCAAATGGAATTAAAACAGATGCAATATAATAAACCTTTTGGCGATCTCTAACCCATGATGACCAATAACCCAATCAGTACATCGTGCAGCCATTTTCGGCTCTCGCAAATGCATTTGCAAAGAATTCTTGCATCGCTACGTAATGGAAGAGGATGCCACCCAATACTGCGAAATGCCAGAGGTTGTGACTACCTCCAACATAATCGAAGGCACCTGGACACCATCGTTCAGGTACTTGACTAGCATAAACGAATGCTCCAACTAGATAGACTGTAATACTCTTTGCAAGTGGGGCGTAGAATTCCGCTGCCCATGCTCCACCGCGAGTGAGATTGAGTTGTAAGGCAGGGACGAAACCAGTTGCGCCGAGACTGACGTAGAAGGCGACACGTGCCCATGCCATGTCTTGTCGATTGAAGGTTGGATGCCAAGGAAGAATAACACCCCCTAAACCTAGAGCAGCAGTTATGCCCATGTATGCCCAGCGACTTACAGGCTCGCAGTAGAATGCTGTGTAATCTGCTGTCATGATAGAAGCAGCAATGAGTAAGGAAATGCCGGTGTAATCGACACAAGCGAATCTTTCCAACAGCGTTTGATCGGCTACACTATTCATCGTGTGCCACATCGTACTGCAGACTAGACATTTAGAAGCAGCAAAGAAGAAGCATGCTGCAATGAAGACATCGGCTTTCGTACTAAGAGAAAATGCGTGGCTGGAGGGGTAGAAGTAAAATGCGACTGATAGGACGATGAGCAAGCCGATTGCATGCGACCAGATATTGACAGTTTCGTTTGACAACCCGAACATCGATTGGACGCATTCCACTTTTGATTCAGTGAAGCGGTAACCTTTGACGATATGTGGGTTGACCCGCCATGGAGTAGGCAAGTCTTCGTATCTGATGAGTCCATGTTTCTTCGCTCGAGCTATAGCGTTTTCGATGTGTTCTTCTACCGTCCCGGCTGCCTTCTTGGCTCTTTCGAAACCTTCATCGACCACTTCTCTGGCTTTTCCCAAACTCTCGTCCACGATTTTGCGCCCTTCGTCCATCAAGCTCTCCGCTGTACCCCTTAATCCCTTCTCCTTTACTCTATATGCTCTCGCTTCGAATTCTGATAGAATACCCTCTAACAACCCAATTCCCGTATGGACCTTCTCATGTAATGTTTCATGCGCAACCAAAGCATCTTGGTATCTCGATTCAACTGTGTCAACCATGATTCTCGCCCTCCTTTTCGTAGCCCCTAGCACTTCGCCAGAAACCTGCGAGCATCTCTCCCTCACAGCCTGTAATGTTGCATACGACCATAGGATGCTCGAATCGAAGGTGAGATTCCCGTATTTCTCAATGAAGTCTAATCTGCGCTCGAGTTCTGACAGGAATACATCGACCTTTCTTACAATTAGAATCTATGCGCCACAGAATAAGAAGTTACCTGGTAAAATACCTTAAGCATAAGACTTTCCTCGCCATCCAGCACTTGATCACTGCTTTTTCGTCGCGGGTGAAAGGAAGAATGTCGTCTCTTGTTTAAGGGTTTGGCTTCTTCTCTTCCTGAAGCCATCGTGCTGGTAGTAACATCTTCGTAAGACTCCACCGTCAAAGATGACGCTGCGCAAACCATGGTTCAAATATGTTCTTTGGTTCACAATATTGATCGTCTGTGAAACGAAATGGCTTCTAGTCGTCAAAGTGTAGCAGAGAAAAGATGTAATGTGGAATTCGAATTTCGTAGAATGATGTGAAGTGAGAGGAAGTGAGAGGAAGTCAGAGGAACAGGAGAGACAGGGAGGGCAACAAAAGATATATTAGGAGAAGACCGAGGAACGAGATAGACGGATTGAGAAAGAAGAATGGTAAGTAAATTGAAGAAGACTTATGACCAGTATCACGAGAGAGTACAATATGAAAGTAAAGTCGACTGGACCGGAATGAGAAACAAGCAGATAGATGGTCGAAGAGTTAATCAGGAAATAATAAGTTACTTTTTAACCCGAGCCCGAGGGGTCTCAAATGTCCAATATAAAACTAAGCAGGTAGGAGAAAACAAGTTAATCCGAAAACGGCAAGCTTTAAATTCGGATATAGTCCACGGGAAATTGTTTTGTTGAGCAGACCAGCATCGGTAAATTTCTTGGGGGAGAATCTTTTTGGTCTGTAATGGGTGATTTATTGGTTGATATTAGATATTGAGTATTCATTAGTCTTGCATATTACCTAGATAGGTAGGTGGGTGAGGAGAATGATCCTTGGGAGATGTATACCTTGGTAGGTAGATATAATGTAAATGGAATATAAATTTGAATATAATTTGAATATAATTTGAATATAATTTGAATATAATTTGGATACTAGTCAGGTGGTGTATGTGTATGTATAATAAGAAACTACCTAGAAGTGTAAATTATAATAAGAAATCCAAGCACACACGTGTGACTGAACTACCTCTCCAGCTCTCTATGATAAGAAAAGTCAAGTCAAGTCAAGTCAAGTCAAGTCAAGTACTTACTAACTTATAACTAATATCACAAGTCTGAATATTGAGTTTGCAACACACGCAATTGTCTCCTTTGTGTACCTCGTGTACCTCGTGTACCTACCTTAGTACTCTGTCGATGATACCTACCTAGTATACCTAATACATACATACCTACATACGTACATTCATTCAGCCTTATCGCAATCGCAATCGCCACACATTATCGAGGTTCTCCGGGTCAGAGGCAAATCCGGCAGAAAGAGTGTACCATGTATGCACAATATTTCATGGGTTCCAATCCAATTACTATCCCTCGTGCATATCAATAGCCAGCCTCTTCGTAGGAGAAACATCAGGCCGGAATTGACTATTCGCAAAGCCCTTCCATAATCCAATTGTGCCGTTTCAGCTCGGACAATTGAACAGTCGAATTGTTCCCCTTCAATTCAAACAATTAATAAATATTTAAATACTTTCATAGTTTAAGATTATTCAAGTAATTATACACTTACTCGTTTCTATAATTTCTGTAATTTCTGTAATTTCTGTAATTTTATTATTTGATTGATTTATTATTATAGAATCTCCAGCTAATAGGATAATCAATTTTGGCCTCTTTTTTTCTCCTCAGTAGAACCAACCACTTATCCGCTTTCCGAAGGAGAATCCACTTCATCACATTGGCATCATTTGCATCAATCACTTGCTTATTCCGTCTCTTCCGTCACCCCTCACCCTTCTCACCCTTCACATTTCCCTCAAATTACATTAAAACAATGCTTTAATAATTACAACTGAATAATATTGCTTATCCTCTTAAAATGGTGTCAACTCACCAATCACTATATGACAAGACTCTGACATACTGGGAATATCTTTCAATCAACCACCCTCCCTCCCCCAAGCTGGCCCCGTCTTCTGAAAAGTTAAAAAGTCGGGGTATATTATTAATATTTCTATCAGGATCGAACCTTTAAAAACTCCATGCAATGCCGTCATTGTAACTTATTCTCCATTAATCCATTCATTTATCGTCGCTCCCAAGCTACAACGGCTGGCGCCAATGGCCTGGTGAATAAACTTGCGTAATCGGTACCAATCACATCCTTGCTGCCATCAACGTTCTTAAATTTGAACAATCTAACCATGGTGGCCATGATAGTGACAAGCTGTACCGTGGCGAATTGTTCACCAATACATCTATGTCTGCCAGCACCGAATGGAAGGTAAGGACTGGAAGCGCCCTTGCTAATCATTCCGTAACCATAATCTTGGAATTCCTCATCTTGATCATTTCCAACAACACGGCCGGAACCAATATCCCACCTGTGAGGATCCCACTCAAGTGCTTCGGGGAAGAATTCGTCGTCTCGACTTGTGCAACCCGGAGATGCCATAAGCGTATGTGACGTTGGAATGACATATTTGGTTCCGCTGACTGGCATTGGTGTAGTAACTTTGCGCATGATAGAATGAATTGGGGTGTGGAGACGCAGAGTTTCCTTGAGAACGTTCTGATGGAGAGGAAGCTTGGACAAATCCTCATAAGTGAGAGCCGGGAGATCAGCACCTAAGACTTGGATTTGTTCTTGGTAGAGTTCTTCCATAATGTCTGGGCGTGAGGCGAGGCGAAGCATAATCCAGGAGATAGAAGACGAGGAAGAATGTTGTCCGGCCATGAGAAGAGCGATCATCATGTGTGCGATTTCTTGATCTGGAACTGGAGTTCCATCCTTGTAAGACGAGCGCATCAACTGCCACATAATATCAGATTTGAACTCTGCTTCCGTAGCTTGAGCACGTCTGTTTTGAATAATATCCATATAAGTTTTGGCTACAGTTCGCTGAGCATGATCGCGGGCGCGGTTGTGAGGAAGAGGGGCCCAGTGAAGCATAAAGTTGATAGGACTGAAGCCCATGTCGAGATCGTGGTAAAGAGCGGCAAAGGAGGTGTCGAATCGATCGCGGACTTCCTTTCCTTGCAGAGTATGCGAAGCAGTATAGATGGTGATTTCAGCCATAGCAGGTCCAATGTCAGCAGTTCCCTTTAGGCCTTTGAATGCCGAAGAACGCTTCATGAAGTTTTCCACCTCCATTTGTATGATTGGGACGTAGGATCGGAAAGCCTCTGTAGATAAGCCAATTTTCATGAACTATTGCAGAATTGTCAGCCATTAACTCCCCTTGTTTACCGCCTGTGATAAACCGACCTTCTTTTGCTCCATCAACTTCGCATTTGGGCAGTCGTATACTACATCTTTTCCAAATACGGGGGTTGTCAAAACAGTGTATATCTCCTCCGCATTGACATCCTTGAGCTTGCCATTGAGAATGAAGTCGCTGCCCTTTCGTCCGAGATACACGGTGGTCTTCTTTCCAAGCAAAATAAAAGTGAAAATATCGCCATACTAATAAAGTAATATTAGTCTCCAAACAGTGAACATAGGGATAAAAAGCATACCTTTGCGCGACAATCGAAGAAGAATTTGTAAGGGTCCATGCCGTAAGTGATAGTGCTACCGATGATTGGGAGCCAGTGGAAGACCACGGGAGGCTCATTGGGGTTTGCAAATAACACTTGATTCAAAACATTGAGAACGACGGATAGAACGATGAATGCTGCCACGCCAGCTGCCACAACAACACCAGTTGACCGCTGCGAAATTTCCTGGGCCAATGGCCCGGCTATATTTTCAAGAATACCCATCGCATATACTGCCGGCACACAAATACACGAAAAGATTGTGCAGAAAGTAATGAAAAGAAGGTTGAGAAGACTTGTCGTTCCAAAATTGCGAAAGTCGACAATTTAAATGGGATATTTCTTCAAAAGGAGACAGCAGGGTACCTTACCGTAGTTTGGATTTAAAATACGTTGATTGGCTAGATCTATTTCGTACCCGTGCCTGAATTTTTCGCTTGAATGATTCCACTAGAGAATGGCTGATGGAAATTAGCTCTAGTCTCCAGAAGATTGTAGGTGTTAGGTGTATCGTATGAGCAATGAGAACACCGAACTGATGCGCTCAGGAGATCACTCATCATCGAAACATAATTGGTACCTTCGGCGTGATGACATGATTATTTTAGGATTACACCTCCAGCTTAAGTTCCGAATTAGATAATAACTTCCGTCTACTAGCGTGGAAACATCTAGATTCCAAGGGGTTGAAAAGGTTGAAGGGAATCTTTACCCAATGAATACTAGGTAATTATACTCTGATCTCTAACTGCCCATCTCTCTTCATGTCTGCTATATCGTTGATGTTACTAGTCAGTATAGTCGGTATCAAACAAAGTCCATATTTCAAAGCGCGATATTTCATTGGTCTTGCAACATTCGAGTGGGCTGAAAGATTTCATTCGCTTGGGAGATTGACATGATCTGGAGCATATAGATCATCCAGATAGTTCAAATGAGTAGAATCATTGAACTGTACTGGTACATTCAAATATGAGAACCAGACTGCAAGCTTCACTAAGTGTTCTTTCCACATTCACGAATAATGTCAAGTGCAATGAATATCATGGAAAATTATAACGATGACCACTAACGATTTGAAGACCATCCATCATTCCGCTCCTGCTCTTGCACTTACTGACGCTAGGCGCAGGTTTTTGACGCGTAAGCTAATGTTGATGTGTAAAGCTGAGTGCTAGATAATATTATTTGTACATAGAAGCGAATCCGTTTGCGCCGACAAGCATGCCAAATTCCAAAAAATGCTATGAAAAGAAACCTTTACAAAGCAAAGCTTCATTCAACGAGCTGGAGCTCATCTTTTCTGCTAGGAGCAAAATCGTCCTTCCATAATTCCCATAGCCTCTCAAGTTCCGTCACGTATTCCTCGTGAACGCGATCGATATCTTGTTGTTCTGGGTTTTTAGCTTGAATTACTTTAATCGGCCGGCCGACGACAATATTCAAAGGCCTTCGATATGGCATAAGGCCGACATCGTAGTTGAAGACACCTCTAGCATGAAAGAGGGGTATGGTGAATCCCATCAATTTCTTAACCAGTAATTGAAATTTGTGGATCCATGGGTGTGAGTCGGCTGAAAATTGATCATAGAGATCATTCTCGCCAAATGCTAGAACTGGAACCAAGTCTGCGCCGGTACGGATCGCCATCTTGACAAAACCCTTGCGACGCTTGAGGACCAATCTGAGACTGTATGGCTGTGCATCTAGTGACTCTGCTGCGCCTCCAACAACTATAGTAATTGCGCGACCCATACCCTCCTAATTTGATAGTTAGAATCTGATTACGAATACGATTGCTTGAACATACCTTGTTTGGCCCACCCTTTGAAAGTAGATTCTCGCAAGATTCTTTGGATACAGACGCAAGCCCCATTGCTAAAGCGTATTCACGATATAGCGGTATCCTGAAATTGGTATCTAATGTGAGAAGTGTATTCTTGATACCTGGGAAGAGCTGAGAAAACCCAAGAGCTTCAGTGGCAAAGGCGGCGAACGCCCCGTGGGAGATTATACCATGGGGATGATATCCGAAGATATATTTCCTTGTGGGTGGCAGCTCTTGGGTTCTGTGTAATCGGGCTGGAAAGTAGGATGCAAATAATGACCACACAGGTAGCGACCGGAAGAAGTTTGAACGATGGCTCAAAGTCCCTGATATTGAAGCCTTGGAAGTAATGAGGTAAATCATATACGGGATCAATATTGGCCAGAATAGGGGTATCGCGCATAGAAAAAAGAACATTGATACAAAAATGGCAATGCAGAGTGTGTGAAACAGCACTACCAAGGTTTGAAGTCTGCGTTGAAGTGGAACATTCATTGGGGCCCATCGAATGCCGCTTGTATGCCATCTTTGTCCAGCTTGCCTCCCACTAACCAGCTTTTCGTCTTTAGACTTTGGAGCCTCATTGTGGTCTCTTTGGAGTTGTTTCTCGTAATCCTCCGAGGGCTTCACACTAGTGAGCTTACTACCATTTCGTTCGCCTTCGAAGATGGCCGTGTTATGTTTGGTATCATTTTGAGCATCCATCATCGTATTTGTGTTCGGGTCGTGACCATTCTCATGCGTCCCATTTGATTTCTGGGAAGATGATTTTCGGTGCCTTTGTCGAGGAGGGCTTTTCGGAGTATCGTCGAGGCCCTGGAATGTTAGTTTTCAGATCAAATGTTGAAGGCTCCTTCCAGTACAAACCGTTGCCGAGTACTCTCTTTGCGACTCCTGCCTATCGAACTTTGGTCTGGTATCTTGTTTGTCGACAGATTTGGTAGAATCTGAACCATTCGTGTCCACGATCCTCAGAACTGACACTTTATGTTTAGGTCCGTTTTTGCCCAGGCCATTCGCATTCGGGGCTGTTTGTCCATTCGCGCCATTCTCTTTATTTTCATCATTTTCATTGCGTCCATCATCTGGTGATTCTGGTATTTCCTCGGCAGCATCGGCATAACTTTTGGGTGGAAGGTGTAACTTTTCGCGTTCTTCTGGCAGAGCAGGCTCTGAACTTAACGTTGGTCCTGGCATTGTAATGAATGCACCCTGTCGCGAAGCGTACAGAATTGATCGTTATTTCAAAAAGACAAGCAAATAAAACAGATGCACAATATCAGTTAATTGGAAAAGAAAGGACCTCCCGTATTTCAACGCGGATATCTAATAAGTAGTCCAGTCTCGCATTGACCAAAAATAACTCTAGACTATGACGTGCCTTTCTTTGAGCGGGATTGAGAAAAAGGAAGCTCGGCTTCAAGTATCGATGAAAAAAAGCGGTACACTTACTAATTGGCTAAAACAGGCCCGTACATTGAGAACACTGCTAGTTTGACACGCAATAAGAATACCGACATCCATACTGGTAACACAAAACATAATGCTATAACTAACTAACAGATGCTGAAGTCGTATGCAATTTTTTATAAATCGAAATAATGATTTTTTGATTTGATACTGGATATTGAAGAGAGAGTAGTTCTTGACTGTATCATTCTTTCCTGTCCAGAAGAAGCCTGGTATACTAATGAAAATCGTGGAGCTGCCCCACTGATGGTACAATACATTCAGTTCGTACCTGAACAAGCCACAAGCCGTCATGACCACCCATGCCATATGCCTGCAAATGAACTTTTTGGAATCCATAGTGAAATTCAAAATAGATTAGATTTGTTTGTACATCTAGTTTACATCTTGTTGGGTTGACTTAGTAAGGGGGTGTATTGGGTTCAATAGTATTATAATTCATGTCTGCCCCTTCGTACGAAGGGGCATTGCTAAGCTATATACACGTTCTCAGTCACGTGTTCCAACACATCTAGTTATATAATGGTTATTAATTCGAAGCTTTAGACCTCGAAAAATTAGACGCACTTAACTCTTTATGTGAATTATAGTACTTTATATGGATTTTTCAATCTAAAATGTTCTTACAATCTTGAATTTACTAATTAATGTTTAATATAGCTTATCATAATAGGAATAATAAACATAATTTATTAGAATCATTAAAATAATTTAAAAGATCTAAAAGGTTTAAAAGGTTTAAAACTCTTATTCTTTTCTAGAAATATTTAATTTTTGATTTAATGTATATTATATATATATATATATATATATAAATTATGTAGAAATTACTTACGAATATCTTTTATTTTCTAAGTATTTTTTAAAATGAAATATAATAACATTTATAAAATTATTTAATTATTACTTTATTATTAAAAAAAACTACAAAGGTATATAATCGATATGTTTATTATTCTTTCTCAATAAATCACTATATTCATATATCATATTAAAGTTTTTATATATAATATTATTTAAATATTATTTATGAAGTTATTAATATTCTTACTCAGTGTATGAACCACTTACAGCGCCGCTAGTCAGCGGTCTAGGGGATAGTAAACGCTTCCGTGACTCGATTATACCCTCGCTCAATGTTTGTCTACACGCGAAGATCACTAATCTGTCTTAATATTATGGATTTTACAAGATAAGGGCTTGAGATTATAGAATCATAGCCTGAATCATATTCCATAAAAGTAGATATCCGTCAAATGATACCTTTCATCACACATTCTAAAACTCATAACTTGCAAACTTCCGACTCGGCAAAAAATACGTTGAGACCGCAAACCGCTGCGATTACAGCAAAATATAAATACATATCTCATCCCTTCCTCAAACCTCTTCCTACCGAAATATCTTCACCATGAATAAAGAGAGAAATAACCCGGTATGCCGACAATGAGAGAAAGCCAGCCAAGTTCTATGAAGAAGAAGTGCTACCATTTTTTGAAAGTCCCGTGAAGACACCTCCCAAAATAAAACGCCTCCTCCACTAAAAGAAGTGAAATTCGTGCATAAGGTTCGTAGTCCACGCAAAGCGTATCGTGACCCCGATTTTCGCTACTCAACGCCATGATATCTTTGTACACCACAAGTAATTTTGGTATAGAACAGCTGCGTATACTTGCGTCCTATGGTGATTGTTGCTATGATGTTCCTTGATTCTGAGAACTCAATTGTCTACGGACAGCAAGAAGCTCCTCTGACAATTGGTTCACCTTCTCATCCTGAGCCTTAATCTTTTCTTCCTGACTTTTCTCTTTAGCTTCCATGGCAACTACTCTGTCAGAAAATAGCTTGAGTTTTTCCTCCAATGTGTTCACATATGCCCAGACGCCCGAGGCGCCAGATGCAAACAGATTGTTACTACTATCACCACTCCCTTGATGGCTTGGTGGACCTCGACTTTGGAGAGGGTTGGAAGGCTGGAACAATGAAGTAGGAGATGTCGATTGCTGTATTGGTTGCTGCTGCTGCTGCTGAGAACCCTGTTGATTATTTCCAGGGCTTTGTTGATTGGATAGTTGACTCGATAAAGTAAATCTTGTATCAGGAGGGGCTAAGCCAGCCAGAGCTGGGAGTTTTGGGCCCTGTGCGCTGTGTGGAGATGGTAAAGACATTCCGGGAGGTGGACTCCTTCCAGACTGATGACGTCCAAAGTGCTGTTGCTGAAATTGAGTGGTCAAGCTGGGTGATCGCTGTCTGGTGATTGAGGCAGAATCATGGCCAAGCTGGTGTGAATGCATGCCGGCGGGACTGAGTGGCTTAGGACTCTCAGTTATACCGCTCTGGGAAAACATTGAGCCAGGACTAGTGCCAAGAGGCATTGATGAGACACTGTTGCTTGGTGTGTGCATACCAATAACATTGTTCTGCATGCTGGGTGATGTAGCGGAACTAGAGGAACCTACGCGGTCCGTACCGGGCGGATAAAGACCTGTGGGAGCATTTTGTCTTTGCCCCGCAGGAGGATAGGTGCTTGGAGTACGTGAGTGAGAGCCGTAACTATCTTGGCTACCAGTGTTACCAGCTACATGCTGTGCTTTGATACTAGGCAGACTAAACCGTCGGCCGTCTTCTTCAGACATTTCTACTTCGTTGGAATGGGGATTGCCATTCGTATACATTATTCCGTCCATTCCATTATCATCAGCTTCCCCTACATTAGTCCCATCAAATTCGTCGTCCCCTCCGAAGCTTCCCATGCTTGCTCTCCTTCCGGCGCAACCGCCGAGGCCTTTGCTATGACGAGCAAGTGCATCACCGCGCGCGAATTTTCGATCGCATTTTGGGCAAATATGAGGACGCTCTCCTGTATGTAGTTTCATGTGGCGCTTCAAATCGTGTAACCTACGAAACCTCATTTGGCAGGTTTGGCAGACGTAAGGCTTTTCTTGACTATGTGTCAAGAGATGACTTTTCAGATTATGGTGTCGAGTAAACTCAGTCTCGCAGTAAGGGCATTTATGTTTCTTTTGAGAAGGCGACCTTGGTAGGAGTTGCTGGTTTTGATTGGGCATGGGTAAGCTCATCCCTCGAGAAGGGTATTGTGAAGGATCCATCTGTGCCAAATTGCCTGGGAACGACATAGATTTGTTTGAGGGCTGCTCATCCATGGCAGCTTGAAGCTGACTGAGACCTGATCGCGTATCTCGGCCATCGGTGTCTAAAGAATTTGTCATGGCAGCCGGACTGGCGACAATTGTAGGACTCGCAGTTGCAGTTTGAGCCGTGCTACCCAAGCTTGCAAGGCTTGCCACGCTCGCTGGGCTGGTTTCAGACCTTTCGTCGAATGGCATTGTGGTCGGAATTGTCAGTGCATTTGCAGCAGCGGACATGCCGTCACTCATAGTAGTTGCAGCTATGGGAGCGTCTTGCGGTCTGCTCACGCTGACTCCTCCTCCGCCTAAAAGAGACGCGATAGCCTCATGACCGGGATTTTTGCTCATGGCGCCGATTTGACTTTTCTGCGCTTCTTCCTTCTTCCGTCGTTCGTCTTCAAAGGCCGCTGCCCCGGTGAGCGGCACAGCAGGAGACACGGGCGAGAATGTGCCGCCGAATCGCGGTGCTTTTGCAGGCGAAACAACCAGCCCCGCGTTCGCGATTGATGTAAGATTTGTCGTCGGAGGTTGTGTTTGATCTGCCCGACTTCGTTTTAAAGACCTTGGTCTAGTATTGTCGGATTCGGGATGACTTGAAGTTGCAGGAGAAGATTTAGTGGCGGGGTCTGATAAATTCGCGGCAAAACCTGGTACGGTCGCGGAAATTGTTTCTTGCTCTGAGGCCATGAACTCGATATATTATAATGGGTCAAAAATTGACGCTTTAATTCACTAATTCTTTGATTCGCGATCTTGATAACGCTCGTGATGTAATCAAGCTCTCATGCCGAGTCTTCACTACCCGATTGTAAATTGTTGCGAGGCTGGTATTTCTGCTGGATCATAAGGCTTCTGTAGAGAATTAGAAACGATCGCCTCACGCTTTGCAATTGACATGATGAACCTACGGCTTTAGCGATTCGATCGTATATTGGATCTGGGTGTAATGAATAAATCGCAAACCGTGTTAAACGACGTAATTATCCAGGGCTACGAGGGCTACTATCTCGCTGAACATAATCAGACAGACTGGATAACATTCAAGTAGATAAAGATAATAAATGATACAAGTTCAAAAATCGAGAAAGTGGTAGAATTGATGAATTGAGAAAACCGAATGTAGAGCACTGGGAGCTGCTGACTTTCCTGCGTACACTAGAATGAATCTGATGGATGAACAAGAAGTAGTAGAAGTTCTAAATAGAAAATAAAGCTGAAGGTTGATTGCGCCTCAATAGAACTTCCAGGTTAGCGCCACTCTTTTGCGATCAAGTCTCTTTCAAGGCTTAGCTTCTTCTTGCCTTAAAACATGCTTTTTTTTTCTTTCTTCTTCTTCCTTTCTATTGCTGACTCTATCACATAATACTTTACTAGGTAGGTAGGTAGGTAGGTAGGTAGAGTACCTGCCATCAATATGAATCATACGGTTTGATGAAATTTCATATTCATCCATGGATATTCATGTTTCTTATTATGTACTCTGTGTGTGTATATATAAATAGTAGGTAGGTAGGCATGTAAAATTACCTACCTAGGTACCTGCCAGGTGCTCAGAAACTTTAAAGATAAACTACCTACTTTATACAGATTAATACCTATCGATCTATGCTTTGAGTCTAGCATTACATTTATAAGAGCTGAGACTTATAACACCCAGCCAGTCCTTACGGTACAGAGGTAGTCATCATCTTACACGAAGCATTCATGCCTAGGAGGGTAGGATGAAGAGTAGTACATAGGTAGTAGGTGGTAGCCAGTAACCAGTAGCCACTTCAATGCCTCTACATGGACAAAAAAAGCGATAGACCAGATCACTCAAGAAGCATCCATACCTGGGTGTCTTGAAAACACAAATTTCAATAGTTTATGGTAATATCAGTTTACATGCAAACATACAGAATGGATCTGAAGCTTATAACTGTATATAACTGTATTCAGTCAACTTATGATCTGAGAAAGTGGTTGTTTGATTTGATAACAACTACTGAATAGAGGATCTAGGTATAGTATCTTTATGGTTGTTCCGGTTTTCGGTGCTGGATTCTATTGGGAGAGTTGTTTTCATGCTTCCAAATCATTGATGATTCTACCTGCCAGTTTGAGTCCTGCATGGTATCTATCCTTTCTGATCTCTTGTCACTACTATCCTGCTTCCGTTACCTACTTGTCATGTATCAGCTGGTCGATGATCATTTAAAGCACGTATGGCGTCGGCTTCATGTGGGCAAATTATCAGGATAGCAAAGCTAAATCCAATGAGGTAAAATCTAGGGGACGTATTGATCTGATTGGAGGGCCTTTAACATGTTTTACTTTCCTCGTTCTTTTCTTGACTTCCTCAGCCACATTGATTCTTGTCTCATCTTCACGTACAGGGCCCACCTCCGTATAGAGTTCACTTCGCATTAGATATAAATCTTTGGAATGCTCGGCACTTGAGCCTCAGAGCGCCATATTTACCTACCTATCTACCTATATTCATTGTCCAACAGTTAAAGATTGATGAATGCTATGTGAGTATATGAGTATAATCGAATGACTAGCTAGGTACATATTTCACATTCTGACTACCTCCATCTGTATGAAACAACGGAACCTCACACCAAAACTGGTTTCCCAAACCCTCGAGTATCAAATTGGATCTGGAATGGTAAAATACTTGATTGTCAAAAATCGGATTGGATCATTGAAAAGCATTATGATATAAGGTTTACTTAATATGACTTATTTCGTCCATCGCGTGACTGCCTCCAGACACTGCGTGTGCACAACGGGTTAAACATATCATGTAATCGGTATTGATTACATAGAACAAAACTTACTCAGAACACAACCCTCTCCAAAGTCTTTGTATTCCTTCCTATTTCTTCCCTTCTTTTCCATACTGCAGTAACTCTTGTTCACCCCAAATCTGCTCTCAAAAGGTCATCGAATCCACAAAATTAGTTAACCATTGGCCAAACAACTTATGGGTGTAGTCAGTTCATGACAAAGGACGTCAGCCACGGCTGAAAATACGACAACCTTGGCCAATTGATCTACGCCGGTTGTCGCCTCCCTGTAGAGCACTGCCTTAGGTCTTGACGCTACATCTCAAAATACAGGTCCGAGGTATGACATAACCTGGATAGCATCCCTCAGAGGTAGTCCATGAGATGACAAGATTGCTCAACGTCGATTTCGATAACCCGGAGTCTTTGTTCCCTTATTCTGGGGAGAAATCGATCAAAATGACGTTAGTCTAATCAACAGGCATGGCGATAGATTAACGGAAGGATGGTTGAGCATTTATAGATTGCTCTAGATTCTCCATCTTCGCTGTTACTTGCATCATAAAAGGCACCAGCCACACATAACATCGTAGAAAAGTGTTCATATTCCTGTTTCTTGCTAGTAAATGACATAACTTCACAGATTTTCACAATCTCCCGATCCACTAAATACTGCAATACAGGGCGCACGGCTTTCTATGCTTTTTCCCGTCATGATATTTCCTGTAGGTAGTTGTCTAGCTTAGTTAATCTTTACATGTTCTGTCTTTGTGGCATAGTCACATGACATGTCATATCAGTGATCTTGCATGGATGCAGAGTTGAGAGAAAGTTAGCTGTAGCATTCCATATAGACTTTTCAATTCAAAACAATTTTCGAATTTTATATTTAATATTCAGACTTTTTAATTCTTTTAATTCTTTTAATTCTATTCCTTTTATAATAAATTATATTAAATGAATAATTAGTGAATTTAAGATTCGAAAACCATTTTGGATTGAAAAATCCGTATGAAGTACTATAGTTTGTACTGAGAAGTTTGAAATATTTTGGGATGCCAAATTGAACAATTCGGAATGTAGTTATGACATGAAGAAATCTGATCTTACTCCGAATGAACGGAGAGACACATATAATGAGAGGAGACACTATCTTACGCGACGATTGGATGAGGGGCCTTGGTTTGGTTTCCATTGTTAGTAGAATAATGAAATACTAGACCCCCTTTTTCAAACCTTTCGAGGTCGCTAATCATGATTACTTTATCTTTCTTATACGTACGACTCTGAGAGAATCTTTTCATGATATAGAATATCGCCTTATCAGTTCAGTAGAAAACGATTAAATATTTCACTTGCAACTATTCAATGCAGTAGGGAACAGAGGAGAAAATTATTCCCCCCCCCCCCAACCGTACATACTCTTGAAGTATAAATTGTTCACAGCAACTGACTCGGAGCCTCTGGAAAATACCAATTCCTTCAAAGGCATTACTCATGACTAGAATGATGTTACACTAGGAAGAGAGATGGCGAGAAAGTAGAAAGAGTATATAAAGAAGCCAAGAAAGATCACGAGAAGAAATTCAGCTAGTCGCAGCTGCTGATCTGCGTTGCTAACAGAATACAAGAAAGACCTCAAGAAATGATTGAGACATTCCAGGAATGCTAGGTATACTTCCTTGTTTAGAAATGGTTGGAGAATTGGGGCACCGGTAGCTTGAATATCCTATTTCGGACAAGAGATTTACTTGGGTATAAGATTATGGTAGCGAGTCATACTTTCAAAGGTTGGAAGAATAAGGTGGTTCAGAGGATGATTGATCTTCAACATCATCTTGGCAATGCATAACTTCCTTCAACCTAAGCTTACAAACTCGAGCTACTTTGGAACCTCAGTTGCCGCTTCTCCAATGTCCTTTTTAATCTTACTAGGACAATCATCATCGGTCATTCCAAAAACTCCCTTTGGGCTCTTCCCTAACCCTCCGCCCCTGGATTCGGTGACTTCCCATTCTACAAGCTCAGCGTTTTCTTGTCTATCGCCATCAGCAAAATCGAAAATTCGGTAGTCCGCATTCTCATATTGCCTGTAGCTGACGGAAGTCCGAAGAAACGCCGAATGAGAAACCACAGCGATAACCTTCTCTGGACGTTGCTGTAACCATTTCCTAGCGGTAATTCCTCGTCTTATCAGAGCATGCTTCGAAAACTCATACAGACCAGATTTTTCTGGAAACAGTGGATCAACAGCTGACCAGTCAAATTGTGGCCACTCCTTCTCCATAATCTCAATGGGCGTTCCTGTATCACATGGCTTGTCTGAGTTCTCCTGCCATTCGGGTCGAAGGATAACGGGAACACCGCCCTTCATCAACCAGCCCAGGCCTTGCTGTGCTGTTTGCAAAGTCCGTCTCATGGGGCTCACCACAATGAGATCAATTTCCCGAGCCAGTGGAACTTCATTCTCGAGATGGCTAGCCAATTCGTCACATTGTGTCCTGAAGCCAAGATCGGTCAACGCCGGATCATGTAGCTCATAGTTGCGTGCCCTAAAAAATCAGCTCAGGTCACAAATTATACTACAGGATGACTTATGAGACACATCTTGTGCAACGTTAGCCAGAAACCGTAATGTAGTTGAGTCTTGTTGACTGACTGTGGAGTGCTTGTGCATGCCTAATCAAAATGATTGTTGGAGGCATCTTGTAACACGATAATCAAAGTGTATTTGAATATTGGTAGATATTATTGATCAGGTGCTACACCAGAAACTGAGAGATGAGTAACCTTTAAGTAGGTGAAGAAAAGTTTGGAGGCTACCTAGGTTATTCTGTGAATAGAAAGTTAGGTCGGTATAGTTAGGTAAACAAGGGAATGTTGTTCACATCATTCAGTCATGAAGCAGTGAATGTTGATGTCGTGTGAAAACGTGGACAGTGGAGTAGCATGCGATGTTAGTCATCGATGTCAGTCAGCTTTATTCCGATTGCTAGCTTTACATAGTTAAAAGAGAGATCAGAACTAATAAAACATTTCAATCACTCAAAAGATATAGAATATTTGAAAAAAAAAATTAAAAGATTCTCTTGTGTAAAAAAATCACACATTTATTTCTAATTTTTCTACAATCAAACTATAATTATTCTAGAAATCAAAACGATCTGAATTAGTATTTACTAAACACCAAATAGCATTTTTAACGTTGAGATATTGATATGGAATGTTGCTTTATAAGATTATTACCGTAAAATGTACAAGAGGTCTAATTGATGGTTCAAATCATCTTATAAGTTTGCTTCATGTATCCTCTATTCTGTGCATATGAAGACTAGCTGCAAGACTAACCGATAACGGTAAGCAAGGAGGCAGGACAGGCTATGTGATTATGTTGAAGTAGGTAGTGGCAATTGTCTTTCTTTGAACCTAATCATCACGCAGTACGGAATTTTGATTTCTTCCAACCATGAGTCTGTATCGTTCTGCTGCACTCTCCAGTCGAATCAAAAAGTCTACTCCATCACTGAAGCGAAGTTCATCCTCTCCCTTCTCTTCCCTGCCCAAAGGAAAACCTCTACGACGATCGAAATCGAAAGCAGACTGTGATGATGAAGAGGAAGAGGAAGAGGGCTTTTTCAATGATAAGCTTGACGATGTAGGTCTGGTCAAAGCTCTTGCAACCGATCTCACCTTACGGGATGTTGCGCAAGCTATTCAACATATCAAGGGTAGGATGTGGAGCCATATGCCAGTGCAGAGGAGTGGTATGAATTCAACACGAATCGCGGAGGTCCTCAACTACCGGGACTCATTACCAAATGTTGTTACTGTCTCACATGTTCAAGCTTTACTAAACTCTCCTACTGCTGTTGAACGAGAGATTGCAGAATTAGTACATGGAGGGGCGATAAGGAAAGTTGTTGTCGGTGGGAGAGGAAGCCTTGGGGAACTCTTGATATTGGTGAAGGATTTAGAGATCATGATAGAGAGAAGCAACCTTAAGGCTTCTTCAAAGAAGGACTTGAAGAAACTACTATGTGAAAACCCTACCGCGCTGAAGTTTCCTAGATCCCAGTTCACGGAAGAAAGCGCTCACGAATTCATACACGCTGGATTTCTTACCTCGTCAACGACCAATTATACAGTCACAGACCATTTCTCGAGGCCAGGTGACGGTTCAAAAGGAACCCTCACTTCGCTAGAGGGTATTTCAAGGGCAGGTTCTGGATCTCTAGCTGCCGTTGGTGGGGAAGGGGCTGTTCATGCTTCTGGAGGGACTGGAGGCGGTGCTCGATTGTCGGGAAAGGGCGATTTCACCTTTTCCCTTCCAGCAACAGGACAACTTCTTAGACTGTTGGGTAATGCCCGTGCTCACCTCGTGTTCTTGCTGTCCAAATCGAAGTATCGTGAAGCACCCGAATCTCTTCTACGGCAGCGGTGGGATGGTGGAATCGAAACAGACGAAGGAACTAGCGTGGCAAAGAGGCATAGAGGAGAATTCTCTGGCGTTCTTCCCGGCAAAACTAGAAAATGGAAGCAGTTTTATGGAATCTCGTTCGAATGGATACTGGCAGAGTGCGTTGGCGCAGGCTTAGTTGAAGTCTTCGATACCAGGAGCATTGGGAGAGGCGTACGTGCATTATAAATATTCCATGAAGGATCTGAAGTCTATCTGGAATACCGTGGGTCGATCTTATCCTTTGCGATCACTGTTGTTTGAAACTCAAGATGGATTTAGATTGTTCGAATCTACAGGGAGAAACATTCCCTGGTCTAGACTGGCATAAGTTTAGTAAGCTCCATATAATGTATAAAATTCATATCAAATGCGGAGATCACCAATGGGTGGAGATCACTACTGCATGTTCAGCAGCGGAGCATTTTGAATGAACAGTGCTCAGGTCTCGGGGGTATCAATTTCTCTCCTGTTCAGGGCTCGTTACATGCAAATAAGCATGCGATGCGAGAAATAAGTTGGATATCAAGTAAACCTCACACATAATCAATGTTCTAATTCGAATTTGATAATTGAATGTTTTTAATGTTTCAACTCAAATTCAACAATCAAATGCTTTTGGTTTAAACTTTCAACTCAGATTAGATAAATATCTGAGCATTTAAAAAGCATTTGGGATATTCACACAATCGCAATCATTCAGAAGCTTTCAAACAATTCTTATCATGGTGTCATAGCAAAATGCGACTTATTACTGTATTGCTTATATTCGCCATCTACCCCATATGTATCAAATACACTTGGGAAAATGTAAAAGATTCAAAAGCGTCTCCTACCTTGTCATTATGGCACGGATTGGGCGTTTTTCTCATTTGTGACCCCTGTGCTTCTTTCAACCCCTGAGCTTCTTTTAATATTGCCCCTCACACGGGTAATTTTGGCAGAGTTTTGGTGAACCTATTATCGATATGAGATCAATCACATAGACAGACATGAAGATTAGGTCGAGTGTGCTGTGTGGGGCTGAAATCGTCAAACGGTATTTCACATTCTGTGTCTAACCAATCCATTTCAGAGCTGGTATGGGGGAGAGGAAGCTTTGGATAGTATAGCAGCGTATTAGAGGCAAGTAGGCTTGCAGCAAATATTATAGCTTGGGTACTTAACTCCTTCTTAACAAGACATGTTTGATAGCTGACATGCTGCCATGCTACCAAAACGCACATTGTTTTATATCTAGTGGACGCAAAGGCCAAAAGGGTATCGGCATGCAAGAGACATCGATTAATGAACATCCTTTCAGAAGAGTACCGGCATGCATGGTGTATGATTGATTGTAAGCATGTTTATCTGGGGTTAGTAAAGAGCTTATTATTAGTACACCTCTGTTCGTCTGGATCATTCATTGGAGGATGTAGTCTGGGGTTAAGAAGTGAGATCTTCCATAGATGGTGTGGTTGAGAAATATTTCTTCCTAAATGACAAAAAGCAAGTGAAATTCGGAAATGGCACACCTATTCGGTAGTTGAGTAGTAGGATCATATCAATTAATTGATAAAAGCAAAGCAAAGTAAAGTAAACCTTAGGAATCTTCGATATAGATAAATCTTCGGTGAATGGTGTCGCATTGTGATTTTGTACAATGAATCCTACCGCACGAGAAGACGATTATGTCCCTATATCGTTATGTCGTTATATCATTATGTCGTTATATCATTATGTCGTTTTATCGTTTTATCGTTTTTTTTTTCTCTCTCGGGTTTATCGTCTCCCGATAAGTATGCCATACCATTGACCAATCAAGGTCTCTCTATCTAGCTACCTACCGAGTACCTAGTACCTAGTATTTCCCCTTCATCCCTCTTGTCTCTACAGAGTAAGTAAGGTCTTGTCCTACCTAGGTGCCGACCTCTAGTTAGTTCCTGCCCAAATTTGATCAATTTCGATAAGGATATCTAGGGTATCTAGGGTATCTAGGGTAGCGAGGAGACCTAGGTAGGTTCAATAGATTCCCAAGAGAGTAGAGATTGCCCAAGATGCTCCACACTATCCTCGAAGTAATCATCAATTTATATTATTCTCCTCCAGATTATTCGTGAGGCCCGGTGAGGGAAGTGAACTTATCCACACACTTCCTCCTAGTCCTCGGCCTATGGGAAAGAAAAGAAACGGAAGAAGGAAGGACATCTTTGCGGCGTAGAAAGATATTAATAATACAACAATAATGATAATTCCCTCCCCAAAAATACCCATGACATGAGAGACAAAAGTTCCGAGCTTTAAAGTTTTTCTATTCTCGAGACTCGAGTACGAATCAACTACGAGTACTGGGTCTGCCCAGGTGGTCTAGTCTAGATAGGCGACGGTGGAGGGTGGAGGGTGGTAAATACATGGTAACCATTATATCATCTCTTGTACCTGGTAATTGATAGGAGAAAAAAAAAACAAAGCGAACAAAATCAAGAATTAAACATCCTAAATTACCATGTCATTTTCTGTATGTTCTGCATTTCGTTCTTTACCATATTGATCTTGATCCCCTCGTCCCTAGACAGATAGGTAACTCATAATCTAACAAGGTACCAAGTAGTCAGTCCCTTTTGTTTTTCCCTCTCTCTCCCTCTCTCTCTCTCTCTCTCTTTTTGACCCACCAACTATCCCGATACTGGTAACGAAAAAATCCACTCATTCACCACCCTTCACGAATCAATCATCTACCCTGCTCAGGTCAACGGTACATTTGCCTTCCCCTTGCAACCTGGTAGTACTCTCACCCATCACCCATCATCCTTCACCCATCAATCACCCAACCCCATGAGTCGAGCCGAGAGAGGAAGTGCATGGTTGATTTCAAAGTTGTAGGACGTACTGGTATCCGCACTCACAGAGTTATACAGTAAGTAAGCTCTTTGCTTTCCTCCATTCATAGAACAGAACTCTCTTCTATCTTTTATCACCCCTCTGTTGCATATTCCAATAAGCTTCCGCGCTGCAGCTCTGCATACTCCATGTAACCTTGGGCTTAACACTAAAACGCTACAGAAAAGTACCCAGTACTTGCTTTACCTTGCTTTCCTTACTTTTTTCGTCCACTCCTCACTTCTTGTACACGTCTGGTTTCGCGTCACGATTCGAAAACTTCGAATCCTTTTTCTGGCATTCTATCCATCTCTCACGACGGCGAAAAGAACGACGATATCACGATCCTCATTTATGTTCCATACCAATCTCACTCGTCCTCCCATATAACTCGCCAAGTGACGGCTTCCTGCCTCTGTATCACCAAACCTGCGACTATTCATTCACTTGTCGCCAAATTCACCGCCAGGACTCGAGAGATCTATCATCGATTCACCGTTCACAAACCTAAAACATACGATTTTATATCATAGAATATCAACAATAGAAGATTCTTTTCATCTCTTTCTTACGATTTGATTCCCAGTCTTTTCCATTTGCCAAATCGCATGAAAAGGTTGGAAGATTGAGGTTCAT